ACAAATATAACAACACATTTGTTTACTTGATTTTTACGAATCAAAATAAAACTAATTAACACAACATGAAATTAACTGCTAATAATAACAGCTCCTTCCATAGGCAAAAATAAAAAGTATTCCATAATAGACGACGCCGCTCACCGGCGTCGCCAATAAAGGGGCATAACTTTGCAAAAATTCTTTTTAGGTTTATCTGCACTTTTGAAATGGCTTCCTTTTATGACAATAAACATAATATACCAAGTTTGAATTTAATAGCTTTTAGAGTTTCTCAGAAAATAGACCTTAACCAAAAGGGTTACCAATGCCGACATCAATGCCAACATTAGCTCAATTTTTTTCGTTTCTTTGAAAAAAAGGAACTAAAAATGTTCAGATTTATATTTATATATGATACATAAGTGATAAACACTAGTTAGAAATTTTGTAACTTTATTTATCAACAAATAAATTTTGATACTACACCAACTGTGTATATAATTATGTCCTTAAACAAAACTAAATTTTTTTTTAATGAATGGACAGTTTCACCTTAACAGAGTTCTGGGTTAAAACAGATTATCTCTTGCAAGAATGAATAAAAAAATATAACAAAAACATTTATTATTTAGTAATCCTGTAATATTATGAAAGCTTAATCCTGTACAATTCTGTCTAATCCTGTATCCTTAAACAGATTATCTTGAATTTATTTAACATAATCCATATCCTATAAGACTTTTTTCTGCCCATCTACAGGAAAGACCTCTAAGTTTTACTGAACAGCAGTAGGTCCTATAAAATGAAATTTTTTTCTAGACCAAATATCATTTTACTGGACTGAAAAAAAACAACAACAACATCTCATTGCAGCATTTTGAGTTACTTGATTAGTGACATTAAGGAGTCAAAAGTTTTGCAAATAAAGAAAATAAGAGGTTAAACAGACTATCTTGATTTCATTTACTATAATCCGTATTTTAAATTTTCTCTTCCCAACAATCAAATTCATGCTTACAATAATGTGTATCATGTTCAGCACTGTTCCTGATCATGTTCAGCACTGTTCCTGATCATTTTCAGCACTGTTCCTGATCATTTTCAGCACTGTTCCTGATCATTTTCAGCACTGTTCCTGATCATTTTCAGCACTGTTCCTGATCATGTTCAGCACTGTTCTGGTTTCAGTCATACTTATTTTGAAATTTTACTTTAAAATATTTAATGATTTTGTGCAGATTGACAAGGTTGACATTTCTGTAAATAAAAGATATTTAGTGTAGTAAAGCTTAAACAGTGCTGACAATGATCCGGCGCAGTGCTGCGTGAATGTTCCGGGAATATATTCAGCCTCCCCTACCAGGCCTAATGATGAATTAGCACTTGGCTTCATCAGACACTTTGGGTGTGGAGCTCAAAAGGCCTTAAAAATCCAAATAAAATGCATATTTGTCAATCCCAGCACATGTACTGATCATATATATATAAAAAACTTAATATAAGCCGTTTTGAAAAAATTTCAAATAGTTAAAAATATTATAGACGTTGAAATATGAAATTTTTTCAAAACGGCTTATATTAAGTTTTTTTGTTATATATGATCAATACATGTGCTGGGATTGAAAAATATGCATTTTATTTGGATTTTTAATGCGTTTTGAGCTCCACACCCCAAGTGTCTGTGCTTGGCTTGCCATACTAAGTTTTAAGTTGAAATTGACCAATGCCTGTTTGACAATTTATTCTAAACTGCATAGCCCAGAATGCATCCATTCAATTTGCACATAGATCTACTGTAGTATTTTAAAAATGTATCCCGCAGTGTATTCAATTACAAAATTGTCTTTGTGAAATATGTAAAAAAAAATATTCTCAATTACAATGGAAAACCTTGACATTTTGTAGTCACAAATCTGAACTAAAAAGACATTAAAATGTTTGATCTTAAGGATATAGCCTTGACTTTGGTTTAATTACCAATCAGCATGGAATTTTGCTACATAAATACTTGATCAATGATACTTAATAATAAACTCTTGGGAAATCAGAAAAGAAAACTTACTTTATTTCATCTATTTGCATTAAAGTTACTGCATTTAATTACACAAACATAAGAGAAAACAATATTTATTAGTTTGTCACATCTTTTCTTTTTTTCTGTTATCTGTTTCTTTTTCTTCTTCTTCTTTTTTGTTTTATGTTTAAATAAATGCTAATCACATCATACTGCTACTTCCAGTCTTAATTTCCCAAGGTCTTGTTAAAGAACAACAACAAAATAAAGCCCAACTACTTTCCATAAATACATTTTTCAGACACCATCAGGCATCTTGGTTTTATTGAGTTGGTAGAATACCACACTTATTTTCATAAGGTTGTAGAATACCACTCTTTTTATGAGCAGGAAGGTGTACCAACCCTTTTATGAGCGGGTAAAATATCATTTTTTTATAATTCTTTTATAAGCTGATACTCTGAGTGCAACTATTTTATGAGCTGGTAGAATACCACTGTTTAATAAGCTGGTAGAACAAAGCCCTTTTATTAGGTAGTAGAATACCACTCTTTAATAAGCTGGAGAACAGCCCTTTTATTAGGTGGTATAAGAATACCACTCTAATACGAGTTTGCAGAATACGACCCTTTTAAAGTACCATACTTCTTATTAGCTAATATAAAACCATCCTTCTGTGACCTAGATGAATGGTAAAAAATAAAGCACTTATTGCCAGTAACCTAAACAACTGTTGGTCATATTAGCCAAATTTCAATACTATACTCTTCACAAAATGTCAAACCAAAGCTTAGAAACACAAAGCTAAGAAACAATAAGGAGTATAAGTCCTTCTGGTTTTCTTTCTATACACTGTCAGAATATAAACATATTTTATACTTAGGATAAAATGTTGAACAACACTTATATCTTATATATCAATATGCAAACACACCTTTAATTTACTAACATCTACTTTTGGTTCTCTGCTATTCATAATTTCATTCCGTTCAATAGCAGATGCAAGAGTGCCACATTTATCAATATTGTAAAAGTCAACTTAACGCAGTAATGTGTCAACCTTGCCCGATTTAAAAGTCCTTTAGTCAATATTTGATTTGTGAACTTATAGTTAAATTGAATAGGATAGAGAGTGAATATGAAAAGGACTTCAGATTAGCAAAGTTTGCTTTATTTACGCTATAGGTAAAATTTAAAGAGTCGTGGGCGAAGCATGGAAACATACAAAAAATTGTGCATTTAAAAAAAAGGCATTTTATAACATGGACTATTCAGACATTATCCAGTAGGGATATATTTATGTGCTCTTAATTAGTTCTTTATAAAGTTTCAAGAAAAATGGATGAGTAACTATTTGTCATGATCAGGTAAAAACACTTGGCAATTAATAAATTGTAATTATTATATTGTAAACAGTTAAATTGTAAAAGCTGCTGCAGTTGTTTTTTATAACCACAAAAATTCAAATTTTGGATAAATACATCGCTAACTGGAAAAGTAAAATTGGGATTTTGGGAGCATTTGATGGAGAAGGAAAGTTCACCATTACATGTAGTTACTTAAATAGTACAATCTATTGAAAATTCAAAACATGTTCTAAAGTTACTGGATTTGATCCACTCCGCAATGTGATAATTTTGATAAATGATTCACTAATGCCACATATTGACACTGGAATCTCTTGGGCACATAATATTATTGACTGATGTATAAATGACCTTGAACAAGTATGTGTTGTTACAGGATTGAAATTTATTTGACTGTGACTAAATGATATAATTATCAGGAAAACTTTGATTGCTAACTTTGCCAGTAATAGGGTATTACTATAACAATGTTAATTGCTTGATCTTTTGAGCTTTTTAAACTCTTGAAATTCCTCTCTTAAAAATCGTCCCTTTAGTGCAGTAATGTGTTCAGTTCTCTAAAATAAGGAGTTAACCAGTTATTGCACTAAGGTGACAAACTGGAATGAAGAAAAAATAAAAGGGTCAGTAAATCTTGACATTTTTTGTTGGTTTCATATTCATATACATTTTTACATTATTATTTTGTGTTAAACAGTTAAAATACAAATCAAACAAAATCCAAACTAGTACAACTTTCAAAATATCCTCAAGAGAATAAAGCACTTAGTAAAATTTTAACTTTAAAGTTTGACATAATTTATGAAACACTTGTGAAAAGCAAACATATACTTTATTCATACATATATATATATTTATTTTTAATATTTCATGTAAAATTTATAACTTGATTTCAGATATATTATACATGACTATATCACTGGTAGTCTCACTGGTAAAGAATAGTGCTAAATTTATAGACAAGTAAAACAAAAATTTAATTCCGTAGTTTAAAACATTTTCTGTTGTTTGTTTCAGCCATGATGGATGTGCAGAGTGAGTGTGAGGTCATACCACGAGACTTCCTATGTTGTAAGCTGTGCGAGGAGGAATTCAAACAACCCAAATATCTCGTCTGCTTCCATTCTTTCTGTCAGCAATGCATTGACAAATACATGGTGGAACATGGCCACAATGGCTCGTACTGGTGCCCGATCTGCGGTACCGAAACAACTGGTCAAGAACACGGAACCACTGACCTCTCAGATAATATACTTGCACAGAGACTAGTCAGTCCGTCAAATGACTCGCAGCAGAAGGACAAAATATGCACCATTTGTAAAATGGCGGGAATTTTATTGATGCAAAAGGATTCTGTATAAAACTGTGAGGATTTTCTGTGTAGGGAATGTACAGACTTACATCTAGAACAAGCAGACACTAGTGATCATCAGCTTGAAACTATGGAAGAGCACAATATACGAACAGAGTATGAAGAATCTGCTAAAGCAGGCCATGTTGTCCCACGTTGCTGCTCCTATTACGACCCTCTAGATATAAGTGCTTTATTCTGCGTGGACTGTGACATAGCTGTGTGTGGCGACTGTCACCTCTCGTATCACGAGGAGCACAGGTGCGCAGAAATGGTCGCTGTGGCGCAAAACTTTCAGAACAAGATAAAACAGCCACTGGAGGAATTACAAAATGATGCCACACAATTGCAAGAAGCAATGATCAGTCTTAAGAAAGCTGAACAAAACACTATTGAAACAACAGAAAGACCTTCATAAAATTGTGAAAAAGCGAACCAAGTACCTAAGTGATCTAATAGCCAGTACGAGACTGTTCTATTAGAAGAGATTGATAGAAGACATGCACAACATCTGGACGACATTCATGAGAGGAGGAAAGATCTTCAGATGCATCTAGCTGCAATAGATGGGGTCAACGACTTTACTGAGAAACTTTTATCTTACGGTTCTTTCGAGGAAAAAGTCCTAATGAGAAAGAAAGTAGGAAAACGTGTAAGAGAGCTTTGTGAGGAACCTTTATTTACAGACTCAATGGCTCCACAGAAAATAAAGTTGATTGAGCCGAATGTTGCCATTGAAACAGTCTGTAACATGTTTGGTGAACTGAAAACTATTGAAGAGAATGAAGAAACAGACAACAAGACAGACACTGAGCAAGTGAATGTTGATTCTGGTCATGAAAGTGAGCCTCTAGATAATGCAGAAACTGATGAAATTTTAGTACCAAATCAAGATTACGAAGCGGAAAGTGATCAGCTTGGTTCTACAACTGGAAGTGATGTTAAAATGCTGACACTTAGTAACAATAGTGAAACACTTCGGAATGTCAAATTCAGTGAAGAGGTTGAAGAGGCTGAATATGAGGCTGATAATACTTTCACTTTAGATAACCCAAAAAGGGAAATAACTCTGCCACATACAATTCAGCAAGAGTGCCTCAAGGGGATTGGGATTAACAAATACGGTGATATGATAGTTGGAGCATCTTCAGGAAATTATCAAATTGTGTATCTGCTAGAGAAGAGGGGCATCATTCGTGGTCAGGTACCAGTGCAAGCTGGATGGACTATTCATTCTGTTGCAAGTGATGGCAAAGTGGCATTAACAGTTGCAAGGGGAGATAATAAGTACAAAATCAGAGTTCTGAAAAACGATGGTTCAGGGAAAATTCTTGCCAATATGCAGATTGAAAACTATGGACTGAATTTCGTTACCTCTGATCAGTTGGGAAATTTGATTGTAGCATCCAATCGATACTCACATGTAACTAACTTTGGTAAATTGACCTCAAAAGCAGGAGGTAACATAAGTTTGTATGACCATCAGGGTGTGCTCAAGCGCAGAATAACAAATGAGGATTATCAAGAATTGGGAATGTACATCCTTGAGAAACCTCACAGTATCGCTGTGGATAACAAATTAGGAAACTTTTACGTCGCCGACCCTGGTAACCATAATGTTACTGGCTTTGATAACACCGGTGAATTGTTGTTTGAATACGGAAATACCGACGAGGAGGCAGAGATCTATGATGGACCTGACCTTGTCTGTACCGATAGTCAAGGTCATGTTCTTGTAGCTGATAAACGTATGGGAAAAATAGACATTCTTACTAACAAAGGTGAACTGAAGAAATCTTTGTTCACAGAGGATATTATCAAATACATTTCTGTGACTCCGGATAAACTTCTTATGGTAGCAACTGGGGAAGGCACTATCAAGTTTTATGAATATCTTAATCAGTAAGTCTTATGTATGAAAGTGTGTTTGTTACAAAAAGATGTTGTTTTTTTTTTAAAGATTTAGGGAACTGGATAAATGTGGATTAGAATGCCAACATGGATATGGGAAAAGTTAGGTAGTCAGTAGTGTTTAAAATTAGTTTTTCTTAAATATAAAATTGTACATGGACTTGACCGGGCAGTTTCTTAACTGTTTTAAATATGGATATTGTACACTGTTCGATTGAGCAAAAGGAGGAAAGATACTGATATTGTATGTAAAATAATTATTATCCTTAGTTACTAAAATGTGATTTTTATTGGATATTGAGCAAAATTTATTTCAGTTTCGATTTTAATGGATATTGTGCGAAATTTATTTCAATTTCAAGTGTTTTTCGAGATTAGCATAAGCACATACTGTCAGTAAAATCAAATAAGTGATAGTTTATCTCATAATTCTTAAAACACTTACAGCTAAAATATACAGGTCAAGTAGTGGAACATGTTGAAATACACTTGATAAGAATTATTTTTCATACCAAAGCAAAATTTCTCTATGTAATCCAGTGTTTTTTCCCCTTTTAAAGTTTGCCGAATTTGAAAACATATTTGTTGAAAGATATGGTATATCCAAGCAGAAAAAAAACGCAATTCATGACAGCAGTATATGAGAATTTTCAATAATTTCTGATGTTTTGGGGGGAATAAAATTGTGATTTTTATCAATTGGGAAATGGTTCAAATAAAAGACCAATCTCCTGAAGGAAGAAAATCAGTTGTTTTAAGCCATTTATTTGAACATAGTTGTATACTTTTTTCAAGAATTAACTTAGCAACAGTGCCACACTGAATTTGTTTAAGAACAAGGGTAAATCTAAATGCCTACCTATAGTGGGGGCACAAAAATTTCATCCATCTGTATCTTTTAGGGAAACAAAATGTAAAACTTCTTGACAACATCGCAGCAATTGCTTCAATCTAATAAAAATCCCAGTATCTTCAAAGGGCATAAAATCAAGAGCCTAATTGAACCACATAAAACTTAATTGCTCTTTATCATGTTTACAGATTGACATTTTATGCTTTGATTTGTTTTAGCAGTTGATATAATTATCACCGAGCATAGAGGACAAACTCATTTTAATGTTTATCAATTGTCTCCCACTTTTAATGTTCCAGGTATAATCTAGCTTTGATTGGTTTTGACACAAATTCTAACACATTTTTTTTTAATTTGATCAAATCAGTCAGTCCACTTAACCTTACCAGCTTTCCTGGATTATTAATTTTCTCCGCCAGTGACCCACTTCTTATCAAACATGAGTCTGGATCAAAGATGAAAAACAGTTGTCAGTGAGTGTTGGAAAAAATGTGTGACAGTCAATTGTCACAGAGAAATTTCACCTTCTCTGAATACCAAACTAAAGGACCCCTGGAGTTATAAATCTGATGCTAAGTCACCGGATGATTTGGTTTTTACAATTTCTTTTAATGGGCTAATAAAATAAGCTTGCAATCCTTCCATCAAAAGTTGGATGTTATACTAATGTAAATCAATATACTCATTATGTACAATTTACAGGAGTGTTCCCTTTAAACACTAGTTATATAATCCTGCATTGTTAGATTACCTGATACAATTCACTCTTTTCAATCCATCCATAATGAAATTACATTTATGTTTTCTTGTTTGTCTGCTTTAATTGGATTTGTTCGCTAGATTAATGGGCCAATATTGCCAATTGGAAATTTTTACATTGTGTAGAATTACATATCAATCTTTTTTTTCTATCTTTGCCTTTATGTTTACAAGTTTTACAGCATCAGCTTCATAAAGCTTCATCAAATCATTTAAAAAGTGGGGCATTTATATTGGACAGTTAGGCAAATCATTTGAAGTGGGGCGTTTATAAGGGGCAATTAGGCAAATCATTATATTTTGGGTGTTTATAAGGGACAATTAGGCAAATCATTTTAATTGGGGAGTTTATAAGGGACAATTAGGCAAATCATTTGAAGTGGGGCGTTTATAAGGGGCAATTAGGCAAATCATTTGAAGTGGGGCGTTTATAAGGGGCAATTAGGCAAATCATTTGAAGTGGGGCGTTTATAAGGGACAATTAGGCAAATCATTTGAAGTGGGGCGTTTATAAGGGGCAATTTAGCACATGCTATATATTTCATTAGTCATTTCATTTCGCTACTTTTGTTATTCTTGTTTTGCATTTAGCACTATGTAATATTCATAATGTTTTAATTAGATATAAGAGCTTTCTAAACATTGAAATACTAAAATATTCATTACAACTAGAGTTCCAAACTTCACTTTTATTAAATCAATTTTGACACAAGCTTTCAGTATATGAATTCAGTTTGTTACAGTGTATTTAAGGTGTGTGAAAATTATTGGTTAAATATTAGTCATTCTTGTATAATATCCAATAACCCTTACAAAATTTAATGTCAAAATCTTAAATTGCCTGGTCCATCTTTCAATCTGGACAAAACCTTTAAGTGTTGGGAAAAATTTCAAAATATATACTAAATGAACAGTGAACTATGCAGGCCATGATCAAACAGCAGGGATGTGCCGACTGATTTTGGTCTACACTGGTTGCATAGGTAAAATATGTTGCTGCCAGCTGGGTTAGAGTTAAAATGATAAAATATATGAACATTTCAATCCCTATCAGATGCAACATTAAGCAAATTATTTAGTTTTTATTCACTTTCTTTAAATAACTACAGTTTATTTCAAGCAAAAGTCTTATTACAACTTCTTCAAGCAACTCTGTTTATTTTCAGCCAGTATCATAACTTATCACACACCCGTGCCGATTTTGCGACTCCGTAAATATGGTATTGCACGGCCGTGCATATATTTTGACGTGACGTCATTAGCGTTATACAAACATAGTGTAAAGACGCGCTAAATGTTGGCGTTATACTATATGCGCGTCAATGAGAAATGACTCTTATTTCACTTTAAACTGTATTTATTTTTGGTATGTGATAAATAGAATATTAAATTCGTGTAAGTTCATTTCTGAATTTATTGCACTCGTTGAATAAAATAATATTATGCTCGCCAGAGGCTCGCTTAATATAATTTTATTCAACTCGTGCAATAAATTCAGTATTGAACTTACACTCATTCAATATCCTCTATTTAACTATCATTCTCCAACTGATTTAATCTAGTATTATTTTTCTAAAATCTTTAAGTTTTATTTTAAGTTAATTTTTATTGACATCATTCATCAACGTATGATTTTTGTTTGTTATATAAACTTTTGATTTTATATTATCATCACAATGAAGTGAGCTATGTTACACTTACTCCATGTTTGTTATAAAATTTATATGATTCATGCTTACTTGTTAGATTTATAAAATCTTTATTGTATTGTTTTTGTTAAATCAAATTTGCATTTATCTTTTTTTTTAATTGCTTGTAAGGCACACAAAAATACAAGTCCAGTTATTTGTTCAATCTAGAATTTTGAGGTCATTTATTATGTACCATACTGCAATAAAAATGTTTTTGTTAATTGTTGATAAAATAAAATTATTTTTAATGAGATAAATTTCAAGACTACAGGTATCAGGTGTCACCAGTGTCTGTGTCCAGTTATTTGACTGACACAATTTTGCAGTCATTTATTATATACAGTTCTGCAATAAAAAATATGTTTTCCATTAAAATTAACATAAATTGTTGAAAAAAAAACAAAAAAACTTTTAAATGAGATGAAGTTTAGAATACATGGCTGACCAGTCTTTTGTTTTTAAAGCATATTACAAAAACATACATATTTGCATGCATTGTTTTACTTGTATTTATTTTTTTTTTTGCTTATTTTTTTTGTGCCTATTATCTACTTGTTACTATTAACAATTTTGTTATTTGATCAGTTTTATTTTCTTGATTAAAATATTAGAAAGAATAATATTAATCTTTGAATTTTTGTTGTAGTTGTTGAAATCCTTATTTTTATTTTACATTCATGTCCCATATATAACTGGGTATACTGCTTCTTTGTGAATCACACAAAGTTTTTAACAACAATTCAATCAAGTTGACAAGATATCTTATTAAAAACGGTCTTTTACCTAAAACCACCATTTTAGATCAAAAGCCTACTAAATTTTCAGAAAAATATAAAGTGACAAGTACCCTATGGAATTATAAATCAAAAACAGTAACAATTGCTCATTATTAGATACTTTTTAAGCATTTTACCAAATATTTCATGAAAAGAGAGCCCATTTCTACCTGTAGATAAACACAATGCTCTTTTTCCCCCCAATCATGATTATACAACTAAAAAATAAAGTTAACTGATAGTGAAATATATTGAATTGTTGAATGGGAAAAATACAGCAGACAGGGTAATTACAACTAATTAACCATAAAAGAGATTGTGAGATTTTCAAGTGCTTTTAAAAAGTAATTAGACTAAAGGTGATGTTAAATGCCAACCGTTGTCCTCGTCTTATTTTCAAACTTGGCAACTGACCAATCTGGACTGGTAGTCAACAAATATATTAATTTCCTTACTGAATAGACTGGGCTTTAAAAAATTCGCTGGAAGCTTGCCAAAAAATCGATTGGTTTGTGATATCTATGTTAATTCCGCCAAATAATTATTTGTAATGTTATTGGATCAATATGAATGTCGTTTTTATCCCAAGGTTGTTTGATTTAGGTCTTTTTCTCGAAGAAAATCTTAAATGATGATGATTATTTAGTGTACACATTCATTCCCTATATTCCATACATGATGATCAAGGCAATTTTACTGAACATTCGGTCTATTTGAACAAATATTGTTGAACAAATATATTTTTGATAACATATAATTACAGAACAAATGCCCCTAATAACCTTACTTTTTTATGTGGATAATTATTATACTATCCTTGAAAATGGTTATTATAACATGTTCACAAAACCAAATCTGTTCTTCATTTGCCAATCAAGTATTTTTACAAAAGTTTATCATGATGAAATATGGCCAGGCTGCAGTGCTATGATTGTGAGAATTCCATGTTTAATTTCCATGATAACCCTCAAAATAACTAACAGTAAGGATTTATGGCTAATATCTGGTCAGGACTGACAACTAGGATCACTATAAACTTTCTGCACTATCCATAAAAAGGGCAATAACTATCACAACACTATTAAGCAATAAATCATGCATATACAGGTTCTCTCCCTTGATTCTCCAAAGTGTAAACAGGAAGTTTTAATATTTGATATATTGCCAAATAAAACAAAACTACTTCAAGAGCCTCTCCATGTACTATATTTTTGTGCCCTCTTGTGCCTAAAAAAATGCATGGAGGGTCACCTGAAGTCGCACTCCTTCAGTTAAGCTGCACATTTTACTTCCTCCCAATGTGCTCTGTCAGTGTTTGAAGTTTAAAGAAAACCGCTAAAGTACTTTTTGAGTTATATTTCAAGTCATCTGTAAAATTTTTTTAAAGATATATGGAGACATTCCAGCTTTACTGACAAGAGAAGACCTTGATAACCTATTTGTGCATTATTTCACAAGCTAGCAGGTACCCCTGAGTATAATAAACAACTTCTGTCAGCTAGCTGGATATTTTCCTTACATTAAAGATTCCAAAAGTCTTTTGAAAGATTTTTGAATCCAATGTTGTGGTGCCAAATGCTGTAATTCGACAACATTTACCAATTGGGTCTATTAGGCCCTTTAATCGTAATAGGTTGTAAGTAAAGCATCATTTTATGATCAAAGATTAGGATAAATGCTGCAACTTTTACTTTTGAAATATTGGCCTAAAACAAAACTTAATATTCGTCATTATGTCTCAGAAATGACAGCACAAAAATGCTTTTATAATGTTTAAAGAATGAATATATATTGGATGCCAATCACCAGAACCAGATGAAACTGAAAGTAATGCTAAATGTTAAATGAGCCACGCCATGACAAAACCAACATAATGGGTTTGTGACCAGGATGGATCCAGACTAGCCTGCGCATCCGCGCAGTCTGATCACAATCCATGCTGTTCACTCTCAGTTTCTCTACTTGTTATAGGGTTTGTAAGCGAACAGCACGGATCCTGATCAGACTGCGTGGATGCGCAGGTTGGTCTTGATCCAGATCCATGCTGGTTGCAAACCCATTATGTTTGTTTTGTCATGACACAGCTCAAATTATTTGACATAAAATTAGCAATCCAGCTACTTTAATACAAAATTTCTATAACTGTACTGCTTGTCAAAAGGCAACAGAAGCAAAATATGGTTTGGATAATTGTCAAGTGAGTTACATTTTTTTTATCTATAACAGGACACCAAAAATAAAGAAAGCTTTTGAGAAATATACAACATTTCTTGGGCATGATGAGCCTTAAAGATGTGGAATGTTGACTTACCATCAAGTGTTTGTTCGTGTCAGCAGGGGCGTCTACTTCAGCGTCTGGTTTAAATATAGCTAGACCATCATTTACCATAACATCATTAATATGTATATCTACATCACATTGATTTGTATCTGTTAAACACAGTGACATCTTCTGGCTCTGTAAAATATATACTTTTACCAGTTAATACAAAAATTTCTGTAAGACTGTCCGCTCAACTATTCTCAGTAACAAGAGTTGGCCAAATGATTGAGGACTCAACTATTCTCAGTAACAAGAGTTGGCCAAATGATTGAGGACTCAACTATTCTCAGTAACAAGAGTTGGCCAAATGATTGAGGACTCAACTATTCTCAGTAACAAGAGTTGGCCAAATGATTGAGGACTCAACTATTCTCAGTAACAAGAGTTGGCCAAATGATTGAGGACTCAACTATTCTCAGTAACAAGAGTTGGCCAAATGATTGAGGACTCAACTATTCTCAGTAACAAGAGTTGGCCAAATGATTGAGGACTCAACTATTCTCAGTAACAATAGTTGGCCAAATGATTGAGGACTCAACTATTCTTAGTAACAATAGCTCTCCTTAAGACTGTGTGCTCAATGATTCTCAGTAACAACAGTAACTGTTATCCATTAGACGGCTCACTCAATTATTCTCAGTAATTGAGAGTAAGAAAAGGGGCATAACTCTGTAAAAGGTAACTCATAGTTATGACACAGATAATCACAGAGATCAAGTGTGTGAAGTTTCAACCCACTCCCTTCAGGAGTATTTAGGTTCCAACCAGCATGCAAAAACTTAACCAAAGTGTGACGGCAATGCCGGGATGAGTACATCTCTCCTTATTTTTCGAATAGTCAAGCTAAAAAAAGCTCTCTCCGATGAATATTTGTTAAAGTTCTGCTGTATTAACTATTTATATCAATGTTCCTTATGAAAACATAGCCGAGGGGTTGTTTGACTTTAAGGTCATGTACATTGATCTAATATTCCTGAATTTCCTGTAATAAAACCAACAGAATGTTACAGTCTCCTTGCTACCTTTTATAAGAAGGCCATTAAAAGATTTCAGATATTCTCTCAAAAATTGTTAAACAGCATTTCAAAAAGATGTCTACTTTTATAATAATCTGTATCAGAATTTTATTATATCAGTACCTTCACATCACAGATGTAAGCCACTAATGGACGATGACAAGTCAGCTCCAGTAAACGACTTCTAGATTTATTCTTCCATTTCTGAAAATACACGATAAAAATTCTTCAACTCTTGAGAAATTAAAACCAAAATAAATACCTGGATATCATACATTTGGTTCCATTAGGTCTGCTTTTTGATAAATAAGAAAAGTGTATCATCTTGCACACATCTTGTAAGTAGTACAGTAGAACTTTTATGTGTTGAACTTCGATAAGTGGACTTTCTCAATGTATCAAAGTAAAATTAAAGTCTCGATTTTTTTCTCCAGTACATACTTTATTAATGTTTTCGTTAAATTGAGACCGATTCACGTTGAAGTTGAAGTCCTGACATGCAAAGGTTTTATGCAAGTCCCTTCAACTAACCTAAGTTCTACTGTATTTAATATTCAAGTATTGGGATTAACAATCAAAGACCAATTGTTTTAAGTGCCTTGTATACACAATTCAAAATGATTTAGTGTCTACAACTAACATGTAATTATATATGACTGTCAAACAAGTGACCTTATCAGAAGTTGGATAATCAACAAAATTATTTATAAAAGCTACTCAACTTTTTGAATCAACTGGAAATGTGTCCAAAGGACATAGATGCCCCACTGTTTTCACAATATAGGAAGGACAGCTTGACAGCAGAGACAAATCTGCCCCTATAAGCAGGGGTCTAAAAAGCAGGAACCTAAAGACCTTTAACCTATTTCAACAGGTCTGTATGAATAACCACTCCATCAAAGTCACTGTTAAAGTTAATACAATACTAATAAATGCAGTAAAAGAATTCAAAGTAATACATTGCTACATACCCCATTAACACCAGAAGGTGGGTGTGTGTTGGCAAGCCTTGCTTGAACAGCCTGGGCTGGCAATGTCAGGAATTCAGCTCTGAAAACAAAAATTAATAATACAACATCAAATTGTATTGTTATTGAACTCTTTACAAAAACTGGTCTTTCTATGCCTATATCATAATGCGAATTATGCAAATGCAAGACATTACATGCTACATGTTGATTTTCATTCAGTTGTTAAATAAAGAATTTATAATTATGTTAACAGATGTTTCAAGCTTTTATGACTGTCATGTGACAAAATTCCAGCTTTACTGATGGGAGAAGACCTCAGATATTCTTTCAAGAATTACTTCAGAAACAAGCATGTACAAGAGGAAAACCATGGACTTTTGAAAACTAGATGCCTGCACTCATTAAATGTCAATGTTCCATTAAGCTAGCTGGATAGCTTCACCACATGAAAGAATCTAAAGTCCCTGGAATGGCTTCAAACCCACAGCAGTAGTAGGGCAAATGGTTTAAAGTAAACAAAACCTTTATCTACACTCCTAGACACTTGTACCCTGATATGAATTAACCAAACTCAAAGGAGTGACATTCACCACTCAGCAAATGGACCCTAAACAAGAGCTGTCTGTTAGACAGTGCACTCGACTATTGTAAGTACTTGCCTAGACGATCACTAACAGGTACATATTCAAAGTTTCAAAGCTAAGTGATAATAAGTAATAAGTTGGAAAAAACTTAACCAAAATTGTAAGAAGAAAGGGGCATATTTTTTTCATTCTCCTTGACAGAGTTATGTCCTCTTGTCTGCAAGTAAGAATGGTGGTCACTAAAAAGTATACAAAGTTTCAAAGCAATACCTCAAAGAGTAAAGGACATACGAAAACTATATTTGACACCTAATAATAAACAAATTAGAATGCTTCTGAAACTAAATCCCATATCTACAGAGAATCTAAACACATTTATTGTATTATGAACTCACTTTAAAAATCTAATCATGTTTTTCTGTACAAAATTGGTGTTGCCATAGTCTACATAGTAGATTTCAATAAACCCTTTGTCATTACTGCCAGTTATAACACCTCTATGCCAATTGTTATCTTCCGGAAACAAGGTGGCGCACACCTGGCCGGGGACCATCAATTCCTCGGGCATCCTGTAAATATCCATGTCCCTGTCTTTGTTGTACGTCTCACTGAAATAAACATGAAATGATGAAGACCTGATGAAATGGTTGTTTATTTGTACAGTTTGGTAAGTCACATCAATGCTAATGGTAAATTTCTTTAGTTAAGTTTTAAGTCAAGTTATGGGTGATTATTTACTTAGTTTAGATTATAATTGATATTCATTTGGTTGATTTTAGACACATAATATGTTGGTAATTATCATTTGGTTTAATTTTAGTCAGATACTATGTTGGTAATTTATAGTATTCATTTTTGGTGTTAATCATAAGAATGACAGTGGTTGTCAAGTTTTAATAATCAGATTGACAACATAACATTATAATAAAGTCATTCTTTAAACAGATGCCCTTAAATCTATGAAAGTTCAATGATTTTTACATAAATATTACTAACAAAATGCAGAAAACTTTGGGTAATGCTGTGAATTCCCTTAATATAATAAGCATGAAATTTTTCGCTTTTGTCATCAAGGACTTTCGTTGGAGTTTAAATTCTTGAATTGACATCCATGATGATAACCACGAAAATAAGTGTCCCTGGAGTATAATTATGTATAATGATTTTGCAAGCTATCAGTAACCGATTGCTTGGTTATTTTTCGAACACGCAACATTTCAGCAAATAAGAGGAATTCCTCAATTGAATGGTTTGTAAACAAAAGAACTTCTAAAATACTTACTCAAGTTGATCCATCAAGTATTCCAATGCAAGAGACTTTGTCCGATGTCGTAACATTACCCAGAACAGACCTGGATTTACTACATTTGTTACATATAGTTCTACATACTGTTCTGGGTTTGGTAAAATCAGAGGTACAAAATGACAACCAGGCCCTGAAATTAAAATGTTATATCATAAGATATATCTATAAACCAGAGATATATCAGTAGTATGGATATGACAGTAGAATGTATGTATGTATGTTATTTTTCAGGGAAGGTTAGGAGTAAGAATTTTAATTCTCGAATACTTCGTCATTATTCTGATTGCATTTTCTTTAAGATTTCTTATGATGTTTTAACTATATAACCATAATCTTTTTTGTATTTATGACCACCCTGTTACAAGCATGATTATAATAAATGGACTTTTAGATATAATATTGTGTGTCATAGGCAACAGATGTTTTATATCACTGCGAAAACAACATTTTAAACATTAATGAAAAACTTACGGCATACATACTTTGCATAAATAAAAATATCAATAGATAATGAAATAGATAAGTATATGTTAAAAAGTTACAATTCAGTCAAGATCATGAGTAGCATGTTTGAAATTAAAAGTCCATATTAAAGTGACATTATGCTAATTTTTTTGGCTTTCTAGACAAGTTTAATTATTAATATATTTCAAAAGATTGACTATTACAATGATGCTTAAACAATAATTGATTATGAAAAATGTTTATGCAAAACAGAAAAACAACCTATATCATAACAAGAGGGCCATGATGGCCCTGAGGTCGCTCACCTGTATATAGCCCCCCCCCCCCCACACACACACCCATAAGAAGATGTTTCATGCTAAACATCTAAGCTCTAGCTCATTGGGCTTTTTAAAAGTAGATTTTTTTAAGTTTTTACTATAAACATATAGTTAAAAACAATGACACCGCTGGGGAGGGCCAGTTTTGACCCCAGGGCTTTTATTTGAACAAACTTTGTAGACACTTACTAGAAGATGTTTCATGCTTAATATCTAAACTCTAGCTATTTGGGTTTTTTCAAAGAAGATTTTAAGTTTTTGCTAGACACATTTAAGGAAAATCAATGACCCCCTGGGCGGGGCCAATTTTGACCCCAGGGCTTTTATTTGAACAAACTTTGTAGACACTCACTAAAAGATGTTTCATGCTTAATATCTAAACTCTAGCTATTTGGGTTTTTTCAAAGAAGATTTCTTTAAGTTTTTGCAATACACATATAAGGAAAATCAATGACCCCCGGGGCGGGGCCAATTTTGACCCCAGGTCTTTTATTTGAACAAACTTGGTAGACACCTTTTAGAACATGTTTGATGCTAAATATCTTAGCTCTAGCTCTTTGAGTTCTTTAAAAGAAGATTTTTTAAGTTTTTACTATATGCATATAGGGAAAATCAATGACCCCCTGGGGCGGGGCCAATTTTGACCCCTGGGCTTTTATTTGAACAAACTTAGTAGACACCCATGAGAAAATATTTCATGCTAAACATCTAAGCTCTAGCTCATTGGGCTTTTTAAAAGAAGATTTTTTTAAGTTTTTACTATACACATATAGTTAAAACAATTACACCCCTGGGGCAGGGCCAGTTTTGACCCCAGGGCTTTTATTTGAACAAACTTTGTAGACACTCACTAGAAGATGTTTCATGCTTAATATCTAAACTCTAGCTATTTGGGTTTTTTCAAAGAAGATTTTAAGTTTTTGCTATACACATATAAGGAAAATCAATGACCCCCGGGGCGGGGCCAATTTTGACCCCAGGTCTTTTATTTGAACAAACTTTGTAGACACTCACTAAAAGATGTTTCATGCTTAATATCTAAACTCTAGCGATTTGGGTTTTTTCAAAGCAGATTTATTTAAGTTTTTGCTATACACATATAAGGAAAATCAATGACCCCTGGGGCGGGGCCAATTTTGACCCCAGGGCTTTTATTTGAACAAACTTGGTAGACACCTATTAGAACATGTTTCATGCTAAATATCTTAGCTCTAGCTCTTTGAGTTCTTTAAAAGAAGATTTTTTAAGATTTTACTATATGCATATAGGGAAAATCAATGACCCCCTGGGGCGGGGCCAATTTTGACCCCTGGGCTTTTATTTGAACAAACTTAGTAGACACCCATGAGAAAATGTTTCATGCTAAACATCTAAGCTCTAGCTCATTGGGCTTTTTAAAAGAAGATTTTTTTAAGTTTTTACTATACACATATAGTTAAAAACAATGACACCCCTGGGGCGGGGCCAGTTTTGACCCCAGGGCTTTTATTTGAACAAATTTTGTAGACACTCACTAGAAGATGTTTCATGCTTAATATCTAAACTCTAGCTATTTGGGTTTTTTCAAAGAAGATTTTAAGTTTTTGCTATACACATATAAGGAAAATCAATGACCCCCGGGGCGGGGCCAATTTTGACCCCAGGTCTTTTATTTGAACAAACTTTGTAGACACTCACTAGAAGATGTTTCATGCTTAATATCTAAACTCTAGCTATTTGGGTTTTTTCAAAGAAGATTTCTTTAAGTTTTTGCTATACACATATAAGGAAAATCAATGACCCCTGGGGCGGGGCCAATTTTGACCCCAGGGCTTTTATTTGAACAAACTTGGTAGACACCTATTAGAACATGTTTGATGCTAAATATCTTAGCTCTAGCTCTCTGAGTTCTTTAAAATAAGATTTTTTAAGATTTTACTATATAGGGAAAATATATGTTTCATACTGTTTTGGTGACACTTTTGCTTGTGTCCCTTGTTGTTTTCTAGTCTACGGTAAGTATCTTCCCCATTGCCTCTAGTTTTTATTTCTTTAATTACCCCCCCCCTTCCCCCGGTCTCCTGTCCCCTTCCCCTTTGTGGGCCTATTGTTATTTTCTTTGAATTCCTAATCAGTTCCAGATTAATCATCATTTAATGATTAACCTGTCCGTGCTCTGTCTTTGCCCTGTCCTGTTTTTGTTCGGGGTCCGCCTGGGCTCCTTGCCGTTGGTTCTTGTTGCTGGGTCATATGGGGGTTGCGTTCATTGAACGCCGCCTTTCCTTGTTGATCTTGTTATCATATTTTAGAAAATGCTCTTGACACTTTATATGAAATATCTTTGGCATCCAAAATATATGCAACAAAAAATAGGTCATGGCAACTTTCCAGCTTTACTGGTGAAGGAAGACCTCAGCTGCGCCCCCTGTATGTTATTTCAGGCCTAAACGGGCACCTGAGAAAGTGAGTAGAATCACTGACGTATCTCAAGCTAGCTAGAAAGCTTACTGACATGAATATGCTTGTGTGGCTCGAACCTACAGCGGTGAGAGGCAAAAGGTCAATGACTGTAAACACTCGCCACAAAGATGTTCCTAAAAAGGAAAGTATTGAGAGATCAACAGTATTAAAACCTTTAATCTTTGAGTAGTTTGGCAAATCTGTACATGTACAGAACCTTTTAGATATATGAAAACATCATACCAACAGCATCTGCAGGATAATCTTCTGAATTTGGAATACCTGGAGGTGGCGGTGTGGGACTAGATTCACGATCGGTTACTGACATCTCTATATCAATGGAATACATTATCATTTCTGTAAATAAAAATGAAATACATTATTATATCTGTAAAGGACAATAGAATACATTATCATTTCTGTAGAGGACAATAGAATACATTATCATTTCTGTAATAAACAAAAGAATACATTATCATTTCTGTAAAGGAAAATAGAATACATTATCATTTCTGTAAAGGAAAGTAGAATACATTATCATTTCTGTAAAGGACAATAGAATACATTATCATTTCTGTAATAAACAAAAGAATACATTATCATTTCTGTAAAGGACAATAGAATACATTATCATTTCTGTAAAGGAAAATAGAATACATTATCATTTCTGTAATAAACAAAAGAATACATTATCATTTCTGTAAAGGACAATAGAATACATTATCATTTCTGTAATAAACAAAAGAAAACATTATCATTTCTGTAAAGGACAATAGAATACATTATCATTTCTGTATTAAACAAAAGAATACATTATCATTTCTGTAAAGGACAATAGAATACAAATCATTTCTGTAATAAACAAAAGAAAACATTATCATTTCTGTAAAGGACAATAGAATACATTATCATTTCTGTAAAGGAAAAGAGAATACATTATCATTTCTGTAAAGGACAATAGAATACATTATCATTTCTGTAAAGACAATAGAATACATTATCATTTCTGTAAAGACAATAGAATACATTATCATTTCTGTAAAGGAAAATAGAATACATTATCATTTCTGTAATAAACAAAAGAATACTTTATCATTTCTGTAAAGGACAATAGAATACATTATCATTTCTGTAATAAACAAAAGAAAACATTATCATTTCTGTAAAGGACAATAGAATACATTATCATTTCTGTATTAAACAAAAGAATACATTATCATTTCTGTAAAGGACAATAGAATACAAATCATTTCTGTAATAAACAAAAGAAAACATTATCATTTCTGTAAAGGACAATAGAATACATTATCATTTCTGTAAAGGAAAAGAGAATACATTATCATTTCTGTAAAGGACAATAGAATACATTATCATTTCTGTAAAGGACAATAGACTACATTATCATTTCTGTAAAGGACAATTGAATATATTATCATTTCTGTAAAGGACAATAGAATACATTATCATCATACATGTGAACCTTTTTTTAAAGATCAAGTGGGAGATTTTTCTTCAAAAAGAGGAAGATTTTAGAATTTGCAATAAACAAAGAAGGAAGTTCTGACATCAAAAATAGGGAGATTTCTTAAATTTGTGAAAATAGCCCTTATTTTAAGTAAAATCTTTGAAAATATGGCTGCAGAAAGTGGGAGTCTCCCGCTAAAAGTAGGAGAGCTCACGTGAATGTATCATTTCTGTAAAGGACAATAGAATACATTATCATTTCTGTAAAGGACAATAGAATATATGATCATTTCTGTGAAGAACAAGATATGTTTGTAAAACATGTATGCCCCCTATCAGCAGCCAATTAGTCATGTGATAAGGTTATTATGACTTCTGACCCAGTGATCAAACAATTAATAAGGGTTATCAAGTATCTACTGGTCATGACCTTAACCTTTGACCCCTTGACCCAAATCTCAATAGGGGTCATCTGCTGGTCACGACCAATCATCATACAAAGTTTGAAGTTCCTAGGCCTAAGCATTTTTAGTTAATTGATCGGAAACCGTTTTAACATACAAGGTCAATGTGACCTTGACCTTTGACCCCTTGACCCCAAAATCAATAGGTCATCTGCTGGTCATGACCAATCACCATACCATGTTTGAAGTTCCTAGGCCAAAGGGTTCTTAAGTTATTGATTTGAAAGCATTTTTACCTACAAGGTCAAAGTGACCTTGCCCTTTGACCCCTTAACCCCAATATCAATAGGGGTCATCTACTGGTCATGACCAATAATCATACCAAGTTTGAAGTTCCTAGGCCTAAGGGTTCTTTAGTTATTGATCGGAAACCGTTTTTGCTTACAAGGTCAATGTGACCTTGACCTTTGACCCCTTGACCCCAAAATCAATAGGGATCATCTACTGATCATGACCAATCACCATATCAAGTTTGAAGTTCCTAGGCCTTAAGGTTCTTTAGTTATTGATCGGAAACCGTTTTTGCTTACAAGGTCAATGTGACCTTGACCTTTGACCCCTTGACCCCAAAATCAATAGGGATCATCTACTGATCATGACCAATCACCATATCAAGTTTGAAGTTCCTAGGCCTTAAGGTTCTTTAGTTATTGATCGGAAACCGTTTTTGCTTACAAGGTCAATGTGACCTTGACCTTTGACCCCTTGACCCCAAAATCAATAGGGGTCATCTACTGGTCATGACCAATCACCATACCAAGTTTGAAGTTCCTAGGCCTAAGGGTTCTTAAGTTATCACTCGGAAACCATTTGGTCTACGGACCGACGGACCGACGGACCGACGGACCGACAAGTGCAAAGCAATATACCCCCTTTTCTTCGAAATGGGGGCATAACAATAGAATACACTATCATTTATGTTAAGGTCAATAGAATACATTATCATTTTTATTAAGGACAATATAATACATTATCATTTCTTTAAACATTATCATTTCTGTGAAGAACAATAGAATACATTATCATTTCTGTGAAGAACAATAGAATACATTATCATTTCTGTGAAGAACAATAGAATACATTATCATTTCTGTGAAGGACAATGGAATACATTATCATTTCTGTGAAGGACAATGGAATACATAATCATTTCTGTACATAACAATAGAATACATTATCATTTAAGTACATAACAAATGAATACATTATCTACATTATCATTTATGTAAAGGACAATAGAAATACTTTATCATTTCTGTAAAGGACAATAGAATACATTATCATTTCTGTAAAGGACAATAGAATACATTATCATTTCTGTAAAAAACAATGGAATACATTATCATTTCTGTAAATAACAATGGAATACATTATCATTTATGTAAATAACAAATGAATATATCATTTCTGTAAATGACAATGGAATACATTAACATTGGCATTTTCTTTCAACAACAAATGCTGTTTGTTGAACAATTGCCAACCATAATAGCAAGTCAGCTGGTAACTAGAAATGTGTCTACAGGACATGGATTTCCCCACATTTTCTTGTTTTGTCAGTCTACAAATGCTGGATGGACAGCAATGGCAATTCTCTGCCACCAACAGTAGAGGGGGCATAAAAACTAATAAATATATATTGTCATGAAATTACAATATAATCACAATATGAAGATTTATATTCCCTACAATATTCAAACCCTATAAGAGGATCATCCTGCATGATAATCTGTAAAAATGCTTACCATTTCCATTGTAAGCTAATTGAATAATTGAATCTTCCATGGCAAGACAGAGGTCTTCTGATGAGTCAAATCCAAGTTCTGATAATGGCAAATTTCTCCCAGTATATTCCTGTAATAGAAAATAAATCATGATGGTAATGAAATTTATGATAATACAACAAATCATTACTTCTCAAGACTAGATCCTTGATTTGTAATTTTACTTACAAAAACCCTACAAGCAGGGTAATAAAGTTCTGGAAACTGAATAAAGACATATATCTTGAGACAAACCTTGAAAACTTCTGGGAACTTTTTGACAGGAACACCATAAGGTCGACTGTTCAGAATGGTTTGTATCGTTTCTTTGACCTCCGATTCTGTTGAATGACCACCACTATTATGAGGGCTTCGTTGTTTTTTTGTTTCTGAAAATATAAATTTGATAAGCATTGAGATACTGCAATATTTCTTGAATATCAAATGAGGTCTTTTCAGTTACATTACAACCTATGAGGGGAAAAACCCTTTGGGATATGAAAATTTTGGTTGTTATAGAGGGAAAATTTATACCTTTGTAAAGGGGCACATAATTTATTCTCTGAACCAGTGAATAGTAACTAAGATAAATAATCACTCATCTGTAACATATCACATCAATTTTCTCTCTCTTTTTACCTTTTTTACCAGGCTCAGGTAATCTTGCATCATAAACCATCCAGTCTCCGCGTGGATTTGGCCGTACTGTCCCAACTGTATCAGGCATTGCAGACAGGAAATCTATTACACTCAAATAACCGTGCTCCCTGTAATCAAGCTGTCGGCCATGTACTGCCTGAAAGCAAAATATTAACATGAATACTTCATATATAGTTATTTCTATCACACAAAATTTGGCCTACCGAACTTGAATAGCTCATTATTAGTTTGTTTGTTTTGTTTGGTTTTATGGCGATAAACACAATAAATATTATATAGTGTAGAAACACGACGAAGGATTTTGGCTAACCTCAGGTGTTACAAAAGTCAAAGCAACACCAGAGGTCAAAATAATCTCAACTGCTAATAGGTGCATAGACTCCAGTAATTAGATCCCATTTAGTCACCTTTTAAGATCATGCAGGGATAAACAATGTCTACAATTCTGGTGCCTCAACCCGTAAAGGTAACCCATCAGCAATAAGGGGACCCATTGTTATAAGATTTTCAGGATTATCTTACTCTCTCACCCTTTTTGAAACATTTTTTTTAACAAAAATGTGAACTTACTTCAAACTCCTTTGGAAATTGATTTGCCCAAATTCCACCAGGATTCTTCTCCAAAACCTATGAAATAGAGAAGAGGAAAAAACCTTACAATATCTTTGGAACAATACAAAATCTTGATGGTTTAACAAATAGCAGGTTATGACTAACAACAGTTCGACAAAACAATAAACAGAAATTAACTCACCTTAATCATAATAATTACCCATAAAAAATACTTAAACTGCTTTCATCTGTGTGCTAACACCAATTTCATCTGTGTGCTTATATACATGTACGGCAAAAACAACAGGCCTTTCTTATAAAGGGAAAAAATTCTGTAAGACAATAATATTTCAACAACAAATCAGCCTGTTTCAGATACATGGCTCCATATGCTAGTGTGAGTTAAAAACGTGACAAATCATACCAACCTGTTGAATTTCTTGCTCCAGGTGATCTTCATTATGAGAACTTGTAGAGGAGACACTGCGAGCATCTTGACCTACAACAATATCGCTGTCACCGGAATTCTCCCTTCTTCGACCTGAAATGTATTTGTCTAAATAAATGCTAATGTGATGTTACGCTCAATCTCATTTTTTCATTGTCAAGAACGAAATATTGTTGCACAACATGTATGTTTAAAAGTAACAAGAAGCAAAAATATCATAAATGTTATTTTGCAATTTTCAGACTGGGTCTATTTAGTTCAGAGCAGGTTAGATGACACTTTGTGTAACCAGTGTTTTTTTTCACTTTTGGGGGAAGGAGTTCGGTGCCCTTTGGAGGGGGAAAAAGCAATTTTATTTCTTCACAAATCAGGAGAAAAGAAAAAGAATCCTGTGCATATTTTAATATACCACTTACCACTGTAAGATTTTCTGTTCTGTGACATTCTTTTCTTTGAGGTAGAAAAGGGGAGCAACTCTTGCAACATAATTTTAAAATATGTCGCTTTTTCTTTATTTACAGATCTAAAATATCGACGGTAGAATTTAAAGCGTCCCATGTGAAACTTGTTGGGATGCGGAGAGTAGCTCCCCTTACCTAGTCAGGAACGATTTGTAAACAACCTTGCTTCACAGTAAGTCTTACAGGCATAAAACAAAACATTTTTCGGCTGTAAGTTGCAAAAAATGATATTCATTGCAGGCAAATTCGGTCTGCCGTATGGGGGGGAAATATCGCATTTGAGGAGGGAAAAAAACATACTATTTTGAGGGGGAAATGGTAACATTAACAAGAAACGTATTATTATCATGGAAATCTTATTTGAAGAACAATTCCACCTTGCTGCTGTCCCCTACATGCTAAATTAAAAGTCTCAATTGGCTACATTTTCAGACCAACAACCAGACACTTTCTGAACATTTTTCCATACAGATTTCACGATTCTAAAGCTTGATAAACTAGAACTGCCACTATCATGGCGTGAATACCCCCGCATACCACTTTGTCAGAATCAACAGTGGATATTTAGAGCTCAAGGACAACCTCCCTGCCAAATCTGAGGTTACTAAGCCAGTGCATTGCCAAGTTATGTATTCTACATGCTTCAAATGTGAAAATGTCAAAATCAATACATTGCGGACAGGACATTCTTTAGCAATTGAGAAGAAAAGCTTTTTTTGTCAAGGTCCCTGTGACCTTGACCTATGACCCAGTGACCTCAAAATCAATAGGGGTCACCTTATAGTCATGATCAACATCCATGCCAAATATGAAGACTGTGGGTCAAAGGAATCTTAAGTTAATGGGTGGACAAACTTTTTGAAGTCAAAGTCCCTATGACCTTGACCTTTGATCCAGTGACCTCAAAATCAAAAGGGGTCATCTACTAATCATGATCAACATCCATGCCAAATATGAAGACTGTGGGTCAAAGGAATCTAAAGTTATTGGGCTGACAAACTTTTTGAAGTCAAAGTCCCTGTGACCTTTGACCTGGTGACCTCAAAATCAATAGGGGTCATCTTCTAATCATGACTAACCTCCATTCCAAATATGAAGACTGTGGGTCAAAGGAATCTTAAGTTATTGGGCGGACAAGCTTTTTGAAGTCAAGGCCCCTGTGACCTTGACCTTTGACCTGGTGACCTCAAAATCATTAGGGGTCACCTGTGACCTTGACTTTGACCTGGTGACCTCAAAATCAATAGGGGTCATCTACTAATCATGACTAACCTCCATGCCAAATATGAAGACTGTAGGTCAAAGGAATCTTAAGTTATAGGGCGGAAAAGCTTTTGAAGTCAAGGCCCCTGTGACCTTGACCTTTGACCTGGTGACCTCAAAGTCAATAGGGGTCATCTACTAATCATGACTAACCTCCATGCCAAATATGAAGACTGTGAGAAGAATCTTAAGTTATTGGGCGGACAAGCTTTTTGAAGTCAAGGCCCCTGTGACCTTGACCTTTAACCTGGTGACCTCAAAATCAATAGGGGTCATCTACTAATCATGACTAACCTCCATGCCAAATATGAAGACTGTAGGTCAAAGGAATCTTAAGTTATTGGGCGGACAAGCTTTTTGAAGTCAAGGCCCCTGTGACCTTGACCTTTAACCTGGTGACCTCAAAATCAATAGGGGTCATCTACTAATCATGACTAACCTCCATGCCAAATATGAAGACTAAGGGTCAAAGGAATCTTAAGTTATTGGGCGGACAAGCTTTTTGAAGTCAAGGCCCCTGTGACCTTGACCTTTAACCTGGTGACCTCAAAATCAATAGGGGTCATCTACTAATGACTAACCTCCATGCCAAATATGAAGACTGTAGGTCAAAGGAATCTTAAGTTATTGGGCGGACAAGCTTTTTGAAGTCAAGGCCCCTGTGACCTTGACCTTTGACCTCAAAATCAATAGGGGTCATCTACTAATCATGACTAACCTCCATGCCAAATATGAAGACTAAGGGTCAAAGGAATCTTAAGTTATTGGGCGGACAAGAAAAAACCGACGGACAGCCGGACGGACAAGCTGATTCCAGTATACCCCCCTTACAACTTTGTTGTGCGGGGGTTTAATAATAAAATACAAAACACAAACCTCTCCCTTTTGATGGTCTTCTGCGACGATTGTTTTCTTGTGGCCGTTGTTGTTCTTGAACAGCCGAATGCTGTACAGGTTGCGGTGCTTGATAATTTTCCTGGGACGTCTGCATGTTGAGCTGGTTATTTGCCTTTGCCTGCAGTCTAGGGGGCAGTTCTCTAGTTTCTCTATTGCCGATATTATCCACAGGAAACACTCGCCATTCTCCCCTTTCAACCTCTTCAACTTTGATTATATCTTTTAATGACTGTAAAAACTCGTACTGGTTTTGAAAGCCATAATGCCTATAATTTATACCAGTTCCATACATTCTAGAGAAAGCACTGTCTAAGTGTGTGACGGGTATACCATTCGGGAACGAACGGAACAAATCTTTAATCTGCCTCCTCACGTATGCTGGAACCATCGGTTGGGGAGGAGCCAAATTTGAAGCCGACCTTCTAGGATAACGATTGTTTCCCTGATACATTCGTGGGGGACCACCACCCCCTCTATTGCGATACACAGCATACTTTTGCTTGTTTGATACTTTCTGTCTAGACACAAGCCTTTGTATATGTTTAGTTGTATCATCTGCATTAGCTGTAAGTGTCATTACCCCATTCTTGTATGATATTTGGACAGCATCGTCTATATCTCTGAAAACAAGAACATATGTTACTAAACACATATGCTCACAGCCCAGATTCTTGTCAAGAAAAGGTTTACCTATTGATAATTCATAGACAGAAAAATTGCCAATAAAATTGTAAACACAGTTATATAACTTGAAAGATTTTAAATTGTAAAAAATATAAGGTGGCATGACATTGCTATGTGAAGAAGTAAAAAATATTCAACTTACAATTAAAAATTTATCAAATACATAAATGCAAGACCTTGACCATGAACCCAGTGACCCCCTAACTCAACAAAACTTATGTTCGTTCTAAACAGGAAACAACTATTGGCAAAAAAATAAACAAGAGGGCCATGATGGCCTTGAGGTCGCTCACCTGTATATAGGCCCCCAGAGCGGGGCCAGTTTAAACCCCAGGGCTTTTATTTGAACAAGCTTGGAAGACACCCATTAGAAGATGTTTCATGATGTTAAGTTTTTACTTCACACATATAATGAAAAACAATGACCTCTCCCAACCCCGGGCAGGGCCAATTTTAACCCAAGGACTTTTATTTGAACAAACTTGGTAGACACCCATAAGATGTTTCATGCTAAACATCTAAGCTATAGCTCATTGGGTTTTTTAAAAGAAGAGTTTTTAAGTTTTTACTATACACATATATTAAAAACAATGACACCCCTGGGGCAGGGCCAGTTTTGACCCCAGGGCTTTTATTTGAACAAACTTTGTAGACATTTACTAGAAGATGTTTCATGCTTAATATCTAAACTCTAGCTATTTGGGTTTTTTGAAAGAGGATTTTTAAGTTTTTGCTATACACATATAGGGAAAATCAATGACCCCCATGGCGGGGCCAATTTTGATCCCAGGGCTTTTATTTGAACAAACTTTGTAGACACTCACTAATAGATGTTTCATGCTTAATATCTAAACTCTAGCTATTTGAGTTTTTTGAAAGAAGATTTTTTAAGTTTTTGCAATACACATATAAGGAAAATCAATGACCCCTGGGGCGGGGCCAATTTTTACCCCCAAGGCTTTTATTTGAACAAACTTGGTAGACACCCATTAGAACATGTTTCATGCTAATTATCTTAGCTCTAGCTCTTTGAGTTCTTTATAAGAAGATTTTTTAAGTTTTTACTATATGCATATAGGGAAAATCAATGACCCCCTGGGGCGGGGCCAATTTTGACCCCAGGGCTTTTATTTGAACAAACTTGGTAGACACTCATTAGAAGATGTTTCATGCTACATATCTTAGCTCTAGCTCTTTGGGTTTTTTAAAAGAAGATATTTAAAGTTTTATCTTTCGGTTGCCATGGCAACCAGAGTTCTGCATGGAATTAAATTCTTTGAACAATTTTTAAAAGGTGACCACCAAAGGAACATTCCTGTGAAGTTTGGATGAAATTGGCTTAGTGGTTTATGAGGAGATGTCATTTAAAGTAAAAGTTTACAGACAGATGCCGGACAAAAAGCGATCACAAAAGCTCACCCTGTCACTGTGACAGGTGAGCTAAAAAAATAATAAAGGCTGCATAAGAAAAAGTGTAAAAATTCCATTGTTTGCACAAGTGACCTTGACCTTTTGACACTCAACACTGTGCCATCCATGGTACATTCTTTCTTTTTTGGAAGGTTTGTACCATTTTGTTATGTATCTGTATTTTGCTACAAAATAAAGAGCATATTTTCTCATTTTAAGACAAAAATATTAATTTTAATTGACTTTTTATCATGAATTATGTCTGAAATAATCTTGTGTATTGTTCTGTTTTCTTGAGGAAACGGAAATGGTTCAACATGTATGTTCTAAATGTAAATAACGGCGATTTTAACAAAAAAAAGCGATTTTTTTTAAAGCAAACAAGTCATAAATGATGATTTTTTTTAGATCAAGGGAAATTTTTCAGCTCAAGGGGAATTTTTTTTCAGGTGGGGAAGTAGCCGTTAAATGGCTACAGTAATATAGTAAAAACAACCCTGCTATAACAAGTCTCTGACTAGGATATAATAAGTTTTTTATTTGTCAATGCTTGGCTTATCAACAATTTATACATAGTTATTTGGGGATATGCTTCACTTTACTACATTGCATACACAATGGATGAATACGAGCGTGTCAGATTCCTGGCATGATTAGTAATGTTCTGTCATCAGTTGGGACGTCAAAATATCAGCTGCATGAAATATCAAATCTAGTATTTTAAGTCATTGTACATAAAATATTCTAGCCATATTCTAAAATATTTTAGATAAAGAAGGGTTTACAGGGGCATATTACAGTTGGGGGATAATCAGATAATACACCAATTGACAGTCTCTATATGAACTATGTAAATAACCAAGGTATATTGAGTGAAAAAATACGAGTTGTTTCCCTTTTCTACAAGTAAAATCGATATCTCTTATGCTAAAACAATGCAAATTTAGCAGTTTATAAACCGCTTGTTTCAGACTTCCCGGTTTACGTCGGTCCGACAGACATGTCCGATAAATTTTGATTAGGTCCGACGATTTTTTATTCCAGATCGGTTTGACTTTCCAGCTTTTATCCAAGTCACATTTATACAAAATGGTGTCGCTAAAAGTGCCAAACCTGGGAAAAACAAAAATATACGTCAGAGGCGCGCGCAGAACAGCAGTAAAAGGATGAAAAGAATAGATCGGAGACAAAATTTAATGAAAAATGGAAGCAAAACTGTGAATCGTTGGTGTATGACAAGGAGATGAAAATGCCCTGTACAGACCGTGCAGATTTTTACAGCGAAAAAATTAAAACTGAAAAGTGTCTTAGAAATATAAACACAAGTTTTCCTTTGATTTTGATTCATTTTATTTGGTCTGACATTTCGTTTCGGTCCGACAGATTTCATGGTTTGTCAGCTGGTCAGACCGAATGTCCGACACTTTTTTTAAATTCGGGAAGTCTGTTGTTTGGGGCGATTTAATATCTGATTTTAAAATGTATTACATCAATGAAAAGCTTGTAAATCTTAGCTTCGTTCTAGTATATATATTTCAACATTTGTTTCATACCAAAGGTATTTTTATTTACAGTTAAACCTACTCTGCAAGTCAGACCAATTTACATATATTTTACTCGCAATTCTAAAGAATAAGAAGAGCCTGTCGTCTGCTAGTTGGGAAATTGTCAATCAGTGTATTGAGCATTTCGTGCCACCCCAAAATATTTAGACTTGTTGCAGACAGATACCTCAAAAAATCTTCAATGGTAGCATAACCTATATCCCTGTAAGCTAATCTGACTCCAATAAAGTTGTAAAAGTCTCGCTCAAGCTCTCTGACAGTTAGAGCAGCTGGACATGATAATAGCAGTGCACGCACGTGCTTCTTGAATTCGTCTTTTTTCTGTGCTGCGTCCGACATTATCAGATGACAACTATTTCATTTGTAAAATTTAGTTTATCTATACTTTCAATTCACTATATTTTCGGTATTTAGCACTGAAACGTTATTCTATTCAACTTTATTTCCCGCCACAAGTCAAATCCTCTCTGGAAAAGCAAAACAAACAGTTTTTAACAAAAACACTCGTAGTTTCGTATATTTTTTTTTTTATTTTTGTTGAATTGTCGACAATAATGTCAGATATTCCTAAATGTAGATAAATTAATATTTATTTATATGTGTTCTCTTGATAACGTAAAGGTATGTGAATTTGGAAGACATTGAATAAATTTATGTTCGTACTTAACACTAACAGAAAAGTTGCTAGCTATTATTATTTTGTCATCAGTATTCGCGATAGTAAAAAAAAATCAGGACTGCGAAATAAAACACTGTATGTGAGACATATACTGTTGATTGATGAAGAGAGATATATATGTTTATCTTTAAATTGATTTACTATTTTATTTGAGGCGGAAGATAACTTTCACGTGAGAGAAGATTCTTTAACGCGATTCGCCCAAATACGTTTCGTAACAAAATAACTCGCCCCACTTTATAGTAATGATAATATTGTCACAATTTGTTCTACTTTATATGTTACATTAATCCTATAACGATGATTTTGCTTTTTATATATTTTGTTTCTTCTGACAAGAGCTACAAAGCAAATATTATAATGGTGCATAGTTTTAATATGTTTTCTTATTATAACATGAATAGCTTTTAGCTTTACTCTATCTATCTTCCTTTTCTGTCAAACCCATCGCAATGGCATGGACAGTCCACATGTCAAGGCAGCCACTCAAGAAAGTTGAAAAGTAAATTAAAATATGTAATATGAAATTAGGCAAAGCCTATGAACGGGGAAGTCGGTAAAAAATCCTTTCATTTTTTCCGTTTTAACGGTGTCATTCGGTATTATATATACCCGCTTCTGTTTTCATTCGGAACACTCGACGATTATTATTAATCTGAAAAGTTGCGATTGTTTCGTTATCGGAATACCCCGCCTTATAACATTGAGTTACATTGAAAATGGCGGCGCCCAAATTGATCTGACACTTAAAATTTCATTGAAAGTTATAGAATTTTATATATTTTTTAATTGTTTTTTTTTTTATTTGATTTTCTTTTAAATATACACGTGTAGTCTATAGCCGGGCAAACCAAAGCCCGGGCCGGCTTGGCGGGCCCGGACTTTGACTTCCCCGTGAAAAAATGGTGTCACAGGGTACTCTCCTGCTATATTGAAATTCGTCCTCCGATTTCACAGAGTTACAGAGCAATGTAAATTAAACGCTGAGCTTTTTCCAGTCATGGCCCCATGTTTGGCGCTAAATGTCACGGTGAGAAAAATTGGAAGCCTGACTGGGACTATAACCAGGTACCCTCAGAATACAGGGACCCTCAGAATACCCTTCTGTGGCTCTATACCGACTGAGCTATCAGGCCACTTACACATCTTCTCCCCTTATTAGTGAACAGTTCTGAAGTTCTGAACCATGACAATAGTATGAAAGTAGGTAAAGCCTCTGATCGTGGAAGTCGGATACCATTAATTTTTTGGTTTTGAATTATTGTATCATTTGGTGTTTCAAGTGCCTCCACCCTTCTCATCTGTCAAGTACATGTATCTTACTAACAGATGTGGAGCATCTTTCTCATTTATAATTTTCGTTTGAAAGCATTTCTTAATTGAAACAAGCAGTTTTATTTACAATCAAGGCTCAATAAAATAAAGATTGCAGACTCAAAAATGTTAACATTAATCTTGGCAGACAAACAGCCTAACCACCTTACCTGGATTACTAGTACATTGTAATTACAAATTTCTTGGTGAGTGGTAGTGATGTTCCGATTGTCGCAGGTCGCCGATAATCAGTTACTGTTATGTAAAGCGACAATAATCGATTCACAAAAATTTGTTCCCCGACGTCGTGGAAAATGTTTAAAGTATCAAAGGGAATTAATTCTGACGGTAATATTATTTTAGGAACACCTCGCCGATCGCAAAACATCATCTCAGAGACAATTTGGAGTTGAACAGAATCAATAAGTGATGTAAACAATAGTAATATAATGTGATGTGAATGTTATTATTTGACATCCATTGAAAAATAAAATCTATTTCGTAAAAATATGACTATATAAGGTTAAAACTGTGTCGAAAAATGCTAAATGAAGTTCATGTTACTAAATATAATCAAGTACTATGGGAAGAAATGTTACTTCCCTCTTTCTTTTTAACGCGACTTTATTCGAAAAGTTATCGATTATGTCCCATCCGACTGAACCGATGATCGATTGGGACAAATTTCATCCGATTTCCATCACTAGTGAGTGGCACTGGCTGATTACCAATCCTACATGATATCTGAATCGGACGAGAGACAAAATTAATGACCATTAGGCTCAATGATGTCCAAGATCAATGTCAATCTCATGGAGAATTTTTACCTTGTTAAATTGTTAATTTGAACTACACTCAGAAATACCTTGACCTTTAAGATCAAATTATTGAATTTTGCTTGAATATTTCTAGATTCGGCTATATCTTAAGTAAATGTCAGCTTTATAAATCCTATACCACATAAAGGATTCTTATTCTTATACACATGTGATTCAACTTTGAGAAAAAAAAGCTTATGACAGAACAAACATGTTGAATTATTCAAGTTTGTTGTAAACCTTAAAATGACTAACATCAAGGCCTTATGCAAAATTTTGATTAAATTTCTGAGAAAAAAAATGATGATAATTCCTTCACCACAATGTTCTCCCTCTTATGTGTTTGCCTTTGAAAATAGGAATAAGTCAAGCATGATCCCCACTTGTGGTGCTATTGTTATAATATTTTAGAAATAATCTGTATGTTTTAATAAAAACTGTTTATCAGATTCAATAACTGTGTATTTCAGATTGACATCTTGAGAGAAACCATGGACTTTTTGGAAGTGACCTCCCGTAAAAGAAAAAGACGAATATCAGATAACAGAACACAGTTGCCTAGCAACATTCAGAATTTTATAAAGAGCCTCTTTGAAAAAAAGATCAGTTATGAGAAGAAGGAGGACTATGAATTAAGAGCTAGTTGTGACTGGAAGATATGTGAGGAATGGAAGATTGAAGAGTATGTGTCGATGAAAAATGAATTAAATACGTTAAAAAATGAACTCAATGACAAGGATATGATAACCTGGCATGAGCATACTCGACTTGTAAATCTTGCAGGAAATATTGCTCCGGGAATTAGGAACCAGCTAAGGCCAGAGCTGTGTACACAAGCCTGGTGCAAGTTTTACGAGATAGCTTCAACATACGTGAACGTAGCCAACATGGAGTCACTAGTTACTGTACATCTCTGTGAAGCACCGGGTGCCTTTGTAACTAGCCTGAATCACTTTCTGTTTACACATGGTAAGAAGATTTTATGATAAAAGCACTATCATCTGTTAAATTGCTTAATATATAGGAACAAAACTTAACTGAAAATACAGAAATAAAACTTAACTAAATAAATTTTGGTATTTGATGAGAAAATTTGACTATTCTGATAGTTTAGAAGGTGGAAATGCATTGTGCCTAAAATTTTGTATGCTAGGACACTGGTTCTGGCTCTAGCAGCTTGGAAGTGGCCATATGACCATGGTAGTTTATAATTTATCGCATGAATTTATTTAGATAAATATACTATATCTGAGGTTTTAACTTATTTATAAAAGCTAATAATATGCTTAATTTAGAAATTATTCAGAATTTATAATTTTTCTGCTGTAAACTAATACAATATAATGCTGCAGAGCAACCCTCTGTAGAACGGTCACCTCTTTATAGCAACCAGTATTATTTCTTCTGAAAGTAAACATTTACAATAAATTTTACCTTTCTAAAGCACCACCTCTCAGCAGTGGCCAAAATCTTTGTCTCCCTTAGGTAATTGCTCTGAAGAGGTTATACTGTGGGATTATTCTTACAATGTACAGTCATGTACTGAAAAGGGTCCCGCTTTAAATGAATTTTTTTTTTATATTATATAAGAATATGCTGGCGACTGGATGTGGTTAGCAACGACTTTGAATCCATATTACGAGGGCAACAATATAGGTCAGATGATTGACGAGGATGTATTCATACGCAGTAGCTATGGCAACTGGTATTTTGGCGAGGATAACACCGGAAATTTGATGTCTGCAGTAAATCTTAAAGGGTTACAGGGAAAGCTTGCCAATAATAAAGTTGATTTGGTAATTAAATTTGTATATGAATTACATGTTTTTTTATATTGACCAATATGATTTTACTCACAAGAGTATTTAGTACTCAAATAATCTGTAAAGATCATTTATTGGTCCACTGTTCGCTTTTTAACAATTAACAGTGGTGATTGTTTTAGCTTCAAACTTTGTAAGAATGTTTGCTTTTATTATATATTCAACAAGCTAGAATAATTTTTTGATTTCAAGTTTAAAATCAAAGAAGCACCATATGAAGAGACCACATCCATTGATCAAGTCTACATAAAAAATGGTTTAGAGTGTTTTATTTTCATAGTGGGTCATTTAGGGTAAAAATATAGGAGAAAGTAAAAACATCATGGAATTTGACCAAACTTGTTTGAACTTAAAAGGTTAGGTAAAGTTCATGGAGGCTATCATGTACTGTTAATAAAGAGCAGTAAAGCTGGAATTTTTTGTGGAAATAATACTTGTTTGAAGGCTGTTTTACAAATAGAATCTTCAGATCAAAAGGTCAAGGGTAAAAGCATGCTGTCTCTTGGATTGGCGAGTAAATTATTTTCTGGTCAGATTTTGAAATATAGAATTTTATTAAAAAAAACTTGTTCGCAAAACTTTTTTTGATTATCTTGAAATGATATTTAAATAGATGTTACCAATGTCTCTTTAAGATATTTAAGTGTTTATAAACAATATAATCAAATTTCTGTTCTTCTCTGTAATTACCTTAATGCCATCTAGTACCTCAATGTACCTGCATATTACAGTATTTCAGCACTCTTTCTGTTGCTAGGTAACAGCAGACGGGAGTATAGATTGTCAAGGTGATCCAGCGGAACAAGAGAACGTCGTATCACGTCTGCAGCATTGTGAAGTCTTGACAGCTCTTCATATTCTGTCACCAGGGGGCACTCTTGTTGTGAAAATGTTCACCTTGTTTGAGTGCAAGGCCATAAGCTTGATGTACTTGCTTAACTGTGTATTTGAAAAGGTAATTTGTTTATAACAGTATCCTTTTTAGAATACTACTGGAAATGTAATAGAAGTACGTTGGATTGTTGATGTCTTTTCACCAGTGATAATTCAAGGCAATACTGGACAAAACAAAATTAAGTGAATCTAGCTAATTATTATACCCCCACAAAGGAAGTTTAGGGGAGGTATATAGGAGTCAGCTTGTCGGTCGGTCGGTCGGTCGGTTGGTTGGTCGGTCGGTCCGTCCACATCATGGTTTCCGGACGATAACTAGAGTTTGGAGTGAGGTATTGTAATCAAACTTGGTATATAACAACCTTATGTGGAAACCCTGGTTGGTATTGCATTTGGACCCCCTGGGGTCAAGGTCAAGGTCACCGTTACTAAAAATAGAAAAATGGTTTCCGGACAATAACTTAAGTTAGGAATGAGATATTGTTATCAAACTTGGTATATAGCAAGCTTATATGAAGACCCACGGTTGGTATTGCATCTGGACCCCCTGGGGCCAAGGTCAAGGTCACCGTTACTAAAAATAGAAAAATGGTTTCCAGACAATAACTAAAGTTAGGAATGAGATATTGTAATCAAACTTGGTGTACAGCAACCCTATGTGGAAACCCCGGTTAGTATTGCATCTGGACCCCTTGGGGCCAAGGTCAAGGTCACCATTACTATAAATAGAAAAATGGTTTCCGGACAATAACTAAAGTTAGGAATGAGATATTGTAATCAAACTTGGTATATAGCAAGCTTTATGTGGAAACCCCGGTTGGTATTGCATCTGGACCCCCAGGGGCCAGGGTCAAGATCACCGTTACTAGAAATAGAAAAAATGGTTTCCGGACAATAACCTAAGTTAGGACAATAACTTAAGTTACGAATGAGATATTGTAATCAAACTTGGTATATAGGAAGCTTATATCAATATCCTGGTTGGTATTGCATCTTGATCCCCTGGGGCCAAGGTCAAGGTCACCGTTACTAAAGCGTTGACTTCAAACCACTTGCCCCTCACCGTTGTGGGTTCGAATCCCGACAGGGACTTTGGATTCTTTCATGTGAGGAAGCTATCCAGCTAGCTTACGGAACGTCGGTGGTTCTACTCGGGTGCCCGTTCGTGCCTGAAATAATGCACAGAAGGGCACCTGAGGTCTTCCTCCACCAGTAAAGCTGGAACGTCGCGATATGACCTATACTGTGTCGGTGTGACATAAACCCAATCAAATAAAAAACAAAACAAATGAAATGCTTAAGGGTCAATGTAAATTACATCCTCTGTTGATGTGACGTAAAACCCAAAACAAACAAAACCGTTACTAAAAATAGAAAAATGCTTTCCGGACAATTACTAAAGTTAAGAATGAGATATTGTAATCAAACTTGGTGTATAGCAAGCTTACATGAAGACAGCAGTCGGTATTGCATTTGGATCCCCTGGGGTCTAGGTCAAGGTCACTGTTACTAAAAAAAAGAAAAATGATTTCTGGACAATTAATAGAGTTAGGAATGAGAAATTGTAATCAAACTTGGTGTTTAGCAAGCTTACATGAAGACCGCACTTGGTATTGCATTTGGACCCCCTTGGTTCAAGGTCACAGTTACTAAAAATAGAAAAATGGTTTCTGGACAATTACTAGGGTTAGAAATGAGATATTGTAATCAAACTTGGTATATAGCAAGCTTATATCAATATCCTGGTTGGGATTGCGATAAATTGAAATAATTCTTTGTACACAGTGCTAATGATACTTTATTTACTGTAGGTTAAGTTCAAATTTTTCTTCAGACAAGTTATTTTTCAAAAGTCAAAGTTGCTGGTGGGGGTATTAATCACCTTCAGTGATAGGTCTAGTTAACTTTTTGTTTTGTTGCTTACAACAACTGTCCTCTTAACAAGACAAATATTGGAATACTACAAATTAGCAAAATATTATTTTAAAATATTAAGGGGAACGGCGGCCTAGTGATTAAGGTGTCTGTCTCTCAACCCAGGGATCATGTGTAATCGTGTCTAGCCAAGTTTCTGCATTTGACACCAGTACTGGTTGGTTACAGGAAGCGTACTCAAAAGTGTTGCAAGAACTTGTTTTGCAATCGAGCGTAAATAAATATTTTGAACCAAAATATCATTGAAAATAGCAGTTTGAATCCTTTATAAACATTTAAAGTACATAGAGTTTTCATGACAAAAATTTTGTTTTAAATTCTTTCAAGGAATTTGGAAAATTAGATTATTTTGATGAAAACTGATAGTAAATAATTGTTTTTTCATCCCCAGGTTGAAGTTTTTAAGCCTTGTACAAGTAAAGGAGGTAACTCTGAAGTATATGTGATAGGTCAGGTGTTCAAAGGAAGACAATGCTGTGAAAGTTTCCTACAAAATGTGACACCAGCATACTTTGGTAATTAAATTTTTTTCTTGAATTTGAAACCTCTTAGTGTCGAAAATACATGTTTTAGTTTATTTATTCTTAAAAAGTAATATGTATAATATAATATGCACTACACACACATGTCTAATGTTGGAATGATTAGAGTAATATTAATAAATTACCATTTGGTCCCACCTCCCTACCCCCAACCCCATCTCTGTAATAGTATTGTAGAGCCCTGTCTCCCAATGACATATTTATCACTGCAAGTTTTATTCTCATCTTATTTTTATGCATTTATATTTTTCAACAAGTTTTAAGAAAGTTCATTGATATTACCTAGAAAATTATCATAATGGCCTTGTATTTCTTTAGACACAACAATAAAATAGAAAATTAAAAGAGGGGAACTTAGAGGTTGTTTTGTATCATAAGAGCTTGACAGTAACTATTAAACATTGATAGAAGTGATGGCATGGCCAAGTGGTTAGCCACTTCGGTTCAAACCCGGTCAGGGTCAAGCTATTGCTTCCTTGAGCAAAACACTTTACACTCATTGCTTAGTACTGGTTGGTTTCAGACACAGATTTGAGACTGTATCTATAAGCTTATAGATTCCTACACAAGCAAACTAATTGTGGTAATGGACTTGGATCAATTTTTTTTTATTTCAGGTGATAATGAACCTGCGGGTTGTTTATTTTCCCAAGATGAAATACCTTTGTCATTTCTAGACCAACATTCACACTATGTACAGTTCTTCAAAGACTGTCAGATGTCTACAATACAACGTAACCTTGACCTTCTCAATGTCATGACAGACGATGAAAGGTCAAAGGTCGAGGAGCAGAAAGATTTCTGTATGGAATGCTTTTTCAATAAGTATGATATAAAACCAATGCAGTATGGTGCTAGGTTAATGAAATTACCTAAGGTAAATTGATTTTCGTATTGTTAAAACCATTTGATATCTCCAACGCTCATTAAATTTTGACATTTTCTTCTTGTCATTTGTCTTCAGACTAATGCTAATCTTAATGAAAATGCATATAGAAGTAAAATATTGTAAAGTGAACACAGAAAGTAATTTAAAAAAGTCATGTAAAAATTACTTCCAGTACAGTCATATAGAAATTACTTTCAGTACTGTCATGTAGAAATTACTTTCAGCACTGTCATGTAAAATTATCCTGTCATGTAAGAATTACTTCCAATCCTGTCATGTAAAAATAACTTCCTGTCCTGTCATGTAAAAATTACTTCCAGGATTATCATATAGAAATTACTTCCAGTACTGTCATGTAGAAATTCTATCCAGCACTGTCATGTAAAATGTAGAATGTAGATGTAGAAATTACTTCCAGTACTGTCACATAGAAATTAGTTCCAGCACTGTCATGTAAAATGTAGATGTAGAAATTACTTCCAGTACTGTCATGTAAAATGTAGATGTAGAAATTACTTCCAGTACTGTCATGTAAAATGTAGATTTAGAAATTACTTCCTGTACTGTCATGTAGAAATTACTTCCAGCACTGTCATGTAAAATGTAGAATGTAGATGTAGAAATTACTTCCAGTACTGTCATGTAAAATGTAGAATGTAGATGTAGAAATTACTTCCAGTACTGTCATGTGAATATAATTTCCAGTCCTGTCATTTAAAAATTACTTCCAGTCGTGTCATGTAAAAAATACTTTTCAGTCCTGTCATTACGTTCAGATTACGTTCAGACCTGTCATGTAAAAAATACTTCCAAACAACCTCAGTGGAGTCCATGTAAAGTAGATTTTTTATGTTATTTTGGTATAATAGAGAAGGAAGCATGCTTCCAGCTGGACTACAGAATTTTCAGCAAAAGTCAAATTAGAGGGAAAGTTTACAGGTAGTTTTTGTGAGAGACAAGAATTATCTACATTACCATGGCAACAGAAGATCTGTAAAATAGAGACTTATGAAGATGAAGTTAACAGGCCAGATAACTCACTGTGGATTCAGGTACCTAAAGATATAATTGTTTTGAAAATTTTATCTTACATTATTGGGCTTCTGTTGTTATTTTTAGCTTGTCTGCTTTGAAGAAAAAGTCGAGTTATTATAATCCCTGTTTGCAAAAAATTTAATTAGCCCATTATTGAAACATTTTAAAAGGTAACAACATGAAACTTGGAATACTTGCTTATCATGACAAGGTGCAGTTAGTAGTCATGGGACATAAGTCTGCAAGCAATAACTTTGGTGTTATGCCCTTTTTAGCTCACCTGTCACAAAGTGACAGGGTGAGCTTTTGTGATCGCTTTTTGTCCGGCGTCCGTCCGTCGTCCGTCCGTCCGTCCGTCCGTCCGTAAACTTTTGCTTTAAATGACATCTCCTCATAAACCACTAAGCCAATTTCATCCAAACTTCACAGGAATGTTTCTTTGGTGGTCACCTTTAAAAATTGTTCAAAGAATTTAATTCCATGCCGAACTCTGGTTGCCATGGCAACCGAAAGAAAAAACTTTAAATATCTTCTTTTAAAAAACCCAAAGAGCTAGAGCTTAGATATTTGGCATGAAATATCTTCTAGTGAGTGTCTGCCAAGTTTTTTTCAAATAAAAGCCCTGGGGTCAAAATTGGCCCCGCCCCAGGGGGTCATTGATTTTCCCTATATGCATATAGTAAAAACTTAAAAAATCTTCTTTTAAAGAACCCAAAAAGCTAGAGCTAAGATATTTGGCATGAAACATCTTCTAGTGAGTGTCTATAAAGATTGTTCAAATAAAAGCCCTGGGGTCAAAATTGGCCCCGCCCCAGGAGGTCATTGATTTTCTCTATATGCATATAGTAAAAACTTAAAAAATCTTCTGTTACAGAACCCAAAGAGCTAGAGCTTAAATATTTAGCATGAAACATGTTCTAATGGGTGTCTACCAAGTTTGTTCAAATAAAAGCCCTGGGGTCAAAATTGGCCCCGCCCCAGGGGGTCATTGATTTTCCCTATATGCATATAGTAAAAACTTAAAAAATCTTCTTTTAAAGAACCGAAAGAGCTAGAGCTAAGATATTTAGCATGAAACATGTTCTAATGGATGTCTACCAAGTTTGTTCAAATATGAGCCCTGGGGTCAAAATTGGCCCCGCCCAGGGGGTCATTGATTTTCCTTATATGTGTATAGCAAAAACTTGAAAAACTTTTTTGAAAAAAAAAACAAATAGCTAGAGTTTAGATAGTAAGCATGAAACATCTTCTAGTGAGTGTCTACCCAGTTTGTTCAAATAAAAGCCCTGTGGTCAAAATTGGCCCCGCCCCGGGGTCATTCATTTTCCTTATATGTGTATAACAAAAACTTAAAAAATCTTCTTTGAAAAAACTCAAATAGCTAGAGTTTAGATATTAAGCAAGAAGCATCTTCTAGTGAATGTCTACCAAGTTTATTCAAATAAAAGCCCTGAGGTCAAAATTGGCCCCGTCCCGGGGACATTAATTTTCCTTATATGTGAATAGCAAAAACTAAAAAATCTTCTTTGAAAAAACCCCAATAGCTAGAGTTTAGATATTAAGCATGAAACATTTTCTAGTAAGTGTCTACAAAGATTGTTCAAATAAAAGCCCTGGGGTCAAAACTGGCCCTGCCCTAGGTGTGTCATTGTTTTTATCTATATGTGTAAAGAAAAAACTTGAAAAATCTTCTTTTAAAAAACCCAACAAGCTAGACCTTAGATGTTTAGCATGAAACATCTTCTAATGGGTTTCTACCAAATTTGTTCAAATAAAAGCCCTGGGGTTTAAACTGGCCCCGCTCCAGGGGCCTATATACAGGTGAGCGACTTCAGGGCCATCATGGCCCTCTTGTTTAACGTGGATTATTTTTGTCAAAATTGGTTATTGATAGTTGTTGCCTATATTTACGCTGCTTGTTGTGTTCTTGTAAGCTTTGAGAAATTGGGACTAACATACTCACCCTTGTATTACAAAGTTTAAGTATATCTTGAAAACCTGAGGACATGACACATGTTTTCTGCATCAAAATTGGAAGTCACTTTTTAACACCCATAAACCTTTGTGAACTTTGACAATTTCTGGATGGTTCTTGTTTACTATTGACATGATTGAGCACTAAGAATAATTGACAGTGTGACAGCTCTTGTTTTGATCCTGACCCTTTGAGATTTTTAAAAATCATGCTTTTTTACAAATTATCAACAAGATTTTTAGCTTCACTATTCAAAGAATAGGGAGAGCTATTGTGCTGACCTATGTGTCGGCATCACACTTTTGGCATCACACTTTGGGTAAATTTTTGCATGCAAGTTGGTTTCTTCAAAACTACTAAAAGGAATGGGTTGAAACTTCACATACTTAATTGAGAGCATAATAGGAGGTTGCTTTTTAAGGCTCATAACTCTAAAATGAATTTTGACAGAATTGTGGTCCTTTCTGAACTTTTAAAGTTATACATTATCCAGGCTCTTGTTTTACTATCAAGCATTGAGAAAAGTCGAGCACATTGTCCCAGCAACAGTTTTTGTTTAGCATATCTTGTACAAATCTTGAAAAAGTGCAGTCCCGTTAATTAATCCTCCAGAAATTCATTTTGATGTGACATATTTTGTTAATGTTTAACAGTGTCAACATAATATGATGTCAGAGAAAGATTTGGATACATACCAGATATTGAAGGGTAAACAAGTAGACAGTATACAGAGTTCCAGATTTTGTCATGGATTTTACCTACATAGAACACATGAAATTGTCAAAAACTCAAAGGTTGGTAGCAACTGATTGATATCACTAAAACCTGTGTGTGTTAATTTAGGAGATTTTTTGTTTAGGCTCAAGATAAAACATTCAATTGAAGTTACTTACTAATACGGATATTTAATGTAGATAATTTGATTGGACACTAAACTGACACATTTTTGAAAAAAGTACATAATAATACTTTTCTTTCTTAAAACCCTGATATATTTTCTTTTTTTACAAAATTTATATGTCATTGTATTCTCTCATTTAAAAATGTGCACAGGTTTTTAATTGACCTTTATTTGAAGATATCTCAAGGTCTTGGTTCTAGGTTATAAAGAAATTTTTCCGGCTTAAACTCAGATCTCAGGACTTTGATTGGTCAGAAATAGATACTGAATGTACCAAGACCAATTAAAATCCTGAAAGTCAAGACTGATCTCACGAAAAAAAAGTTTATAACCTAAAGATCTAGCTTGCTTGAAATTATTATTTTATTTGTTTTGCTAAAACCTAATATACATGTATCTTTTAGTGGCTGGCAGAACAGACTGTAGCAGATGCAGACTTTGTGATGAAAGTAGCATCAAAGCTGAGAGAGATACTGTTAGACACTATACAGTATTACAACGATAAACCATCACAACAGCTACAGTCTAATCCCGATAATATGGTCACTGTCAAACTATCACAGCAAACTGTACAGCCTGGTTGTGATAGTGGTAATGAAGTAGCTGGTAAATCTGTAAATCTTTGTGACAATGTAACTGATACTGATGGCAAAGCCGCAGCTACTGATAATGAAGTTTTAGGTGCTAGTATTGTTAATGATAAAAATGGGGCTGGCATTGATACAGGACAGATGGGTGAAGTTAATGATGAAAGTAAAGAGAAAATAGGTACCACAGCTTGTAATGACTGTATAAACAATGATGGTGATAAAACTGTTTCAAGTGCTCAAATTCCTGTACAGGAATGCTCAGCCAGTAACAATACAGGGGAGATTGTCGAAGTGGATGATGTAAGAAGTGAAGAAATGACACTTAACACTTGTAGTAATGGTTATAAAGATATAAATGATGGGAGGACAAGTGATTCCACATGTGCATGCAATACAGACTCTGTAGAGACAAAAACCGATAATGTTATGTCGATCGGAGGAGATGCTCCAAGATTTACATGTACCTGTGTCAAAGGTGGTTCACCTGTATTAGAAGAACTTTCCAAGCAGGTATTTATATCCTAAACTTTGATAGTTGGACCATTGTTTTCATGATTTTGAATGTTGTACTATTTCAGGAAGAGACTAAATTTTTATATCTAGTCTTCCTGTATTTTTTGTTTGCGCTTTTGTTAACACAGGAATATATGTATTGTTAACAATTTAAAAACCTACAATAAGAGGTTTTTAACTGTTACTAAGATAAATATTGATTTGGTAAATTGACTTCTTCATATGTCTTTTAATGTTGACAAAACTATTCAACATTTTAGGGAAACTTTCAAAATAACTACTGACTGAATAGCAAACAGATGAGACAGCATGCACCTGCATTTGTACAATCTTTCTGCCCACAGGCTAAGGTTTAAAAATGTTTTAATATGTTTTAACATTTAATTGCTAAATCTGATAATTGTTCTTACAAGGTTTTGTGCACTATGTTCTACAGATATCCTTCCCATTTTATGCACTATGTTCTACAGATATCCTTCCCATTTTGTGCACTATGTTCTACAGATATCCTTCCCATTTTGTGCACTATGTTCTACAGATATCCTTCCCATTTTTGATAAATAACTAAGAACGTAAATATATACATGTATATTGGTTGTATTGTACAGGGTTGTAGTAGTGGAATAACTGTGAGACTGTATGCACTTGGTTCTAGGAAGGTCTGTCACAGGTTTGAACTTGTAGAGGACAAAGATTTATTGGCTGTTGTACATGATATAATTAAGGTTAGTAGTTACAAATTTGTTTTCACAGGAACAATATTGTACACCTAAGTAGTGTTTATATACTAGTCTTTGACAACATAAAAATCTTGTTAGCAACTCAACCTTGAATTGTCAGTGACTCATCTACAAACATTGAACAGTATTAGACCTGCTTAAGCCTGTAAAGGCTATGTGAGGTAAAAACTGGCCATTTATATGTTTATTTCATGCAAATGTGAAATAAAACCATGCCTTTTTAGCCATTTGTAAATGTCCCTCTTTACCTGTAAACATTTTAAAAGTTTAAATTGATCTGGGCCAATGATGAATAATAATAAACCTAACAGCATTGCCACATGTCTGCCTAAAGAACGGTTTTTAGCTTGTCTATTCAAAGAATATTGGGAACTATTGTACTCACACTGGTGTCAGTGTCAGAAACTTAATTTGTTTTTTTTCGTGCAATTTGGTATCTTAAAAACTACTTAAAGGAATTGGTTGAAACTTCACTCACTGATTTAAGAGCATATTAGGTCACTTTTTAAGGTCCAAAATTTTAACATGGATTTTTGACAGAATTATGACCTTTTTTGAACTTAAGAAATTTTACATTTATCCAGGCTCTTGTTTTACTATCTAGCACTGAGAAAAGTAGAGCATGCTGTCCTACCTACAGTTCTTGTTAAATGTACACAGTTAAACTTAAATATGAAAATATATATTTCAGACATGTAATTCCTCTGACTATGTTATTATAGAGATGGGAACGTGTTTGAGCAGGTTTACTGCCGGACTTGTCTATATTCTTTATAGAACCTTCAGAGAGGTAAGAAGTTAATGCTTTTTCATATGCTATTACTACTAGCTTTTTTTTACTCAGAATAATAGGTATCTCATAAGGTTGTTAAAATAAGTATACAGTTATTTCATAGGTGGTTTGGGAACAGTCAAACTGTTGGCCCGAGGTGGAGGGGGTAGTGTTTTGAACTGTTGCCGAAGGCCGTAGGCGAGGGCAGCAGTTCAAAACACTATCACCAACACCGAGGGACAACTGTTTGACTGTTCCCAAATCATGTATGAAGTAACTGTTTTATTACCTGATCAACTACTGTTTTAATAGTACTAGCAGAAGAAAATAGGAAGAAAAAATAGTTTTGCACATATGTTAATAATTAAACTTAATACTTTAAAGTTCTATGTCACATCACGGTTTATGATCAAAATCGATGGATGCTTCAAGTGGGAATCCTCAGAGCACGCGAGGGAAACAGTCGAAACTATTGACCGGTCAACAGTTCGGGAATGTTGATGTTTTTAGAATTTCAGAAAACAGTAAAAAAAATACCAAATTACATTTATAGTAGGTATCAGGTAATAATAAAGATTACTTCATGATATATATTGTGGTGACATAAAGAATGCCTCTGTTTAAAACATTTACACTTTAATATTTGAATTAGCTTAAGGTCCCTAACAGGACAGGCAGCTGAAAAGAATACCGTAGGGAAAGCCCAGCTATTATTGTGTCAGGAATCTGGCATGCTCGTATTAATTCATGCACCATGCGATGGAGTAAAGTAAAGCATATGTTGATAAAAATATACATAATCTTAGTAACAACATATAAAAAACTAATTTTGAACATAAACTTCCTTACAATTTCCAATAGGTAAAACACTTCAGCACTTTGCTGCCATCTTGCAGAAATATTTGATGTTGTGATTTTGAGATTGATCCTCTCACTAAATCTGCACTGAGTTAAGAAAACAATTTTGAAAGCCAGAACTAATCTTTAATCTGTTATGCAAGAAATTCTGTGACACAATGTTGAAATATTCTTATTTTAAAATATCATTCACATAATGATATTTGCATTCTTTTTCTGGTCCATCAGCTTAAGTTCAATAGAGAGAGCATCAGATTTGTAATCAAGGGATTCAATCTTTTTGCAATGCAAAATTTATGAAATATTGTGTAAGTGCATTGACATGATGATATCTGCATTTGTATTTCGGTCTATCTGATTTGTAATTCTGGGATCACTGCTTCAGTCCTTGTGTGAGGTGAAATTTCTCTGTGACATTTTAACTCAGACTTAAAGCGTTATTGGCATATGGCCGCTGATCTAGAATCATGTTGGATTAGTAGTTGGCCACTTGCTGTGAGATTGATAGTTATTGGTTTGTTATACAGGAAAGCCGCCTAGGTGGAAAGACCGCTGAGATATGACCAAAAATATGTTAAACAAGGCAAAAAACACACTCAAACATACAAATTAACATTTGTTATCTGAAAAAGATCTACAATACATTCATGTGGCTTGCCCCTCCAATTAGAATTACTTTTATTTCAATCATGTACATGTACTTGCAATGCAATTTAAAAGATTAATTTGCAGCATGTTTTTGTTTATAGATTGGGTTTGTACATCACCATGGAAACCTGTTGAAGCGCCACCTGTTGTGTATCAATTTTCAGCATTGTCCAATGAAATTGTGTCAGTATTTAGAAGAGGTGTGTCATATGATAGATTCTGACCAATCAGAATCAGTGTTAGAAATAGTTCCTGTTCTCACAATACTAGAAGGTAAATCTTTTGATATTATTTCTACTTTAAGTCATACATTTAACTCTTTAAAAATTTCTCAGTGATATAAATTTAGCAGAACACAGTGATCGAAAGTGATAAAACATTTCAAATATTGGGTAAATTTTAGAATATGAAGGTTACTTTCAATAACCATGATCTCCGAATGTACACATGATTGGAAAAAAACACTCATTAATTTGAGATTTTCTTTTTCCAAAGAAATGTTTTACTATATAATTACAGAGTGGGATTTTCTTGTCTTAGTCACTTTTAATGTCTTGACTATTTTATTACCTACCCTACATGTAGTCCATAACAACTGCATGCTTAGGTATTCATTAACAGTGAAGAAATCATATATTTATAGATAAATGCACTTGTACACATGCCGTTGTTGTAACTTTTTTTGATATGCATGGCTCAGGACACCATGTATAAAATTATTTTACTATAATGACGGCCTGTGTAGTTTTGTTGTCAAAACAGAACTGTCAAATGACGTCACCACACAAGGACATGAATTTTAGATAAAACCAGTATTTTAAAGGGAAAACAAAATTATGAATACTGGAATTACAGAATCAGGCATATACTTCTATGCAAGAGAAGCTCTAATGCACATTTGCATGAATAGTGCTAATGCACTTTTGCATGAATAATGCTAATTCACCTTTGTTTGAATGGAGCTAACACACCTTTATTACTGCAGAAGCTCTCGGGGTGAAAAAAAGGTGCATTAACCCCTCTATTCTAAACATTTATTATTGTTTATATATTTATTTCAGATGATGACTTTACATCGTTTCTACGAATTTCCAACGTGAATCTCCTGCAGTCTTTCATAACAACTGTCATCAATGCAGAGAAAAAAGAACATTCTCTTAAAATGAACACTTGATTTTTGACTAAAGTCTCAAAAATACAGATACACTTTTGGTTAAAGACCACATGGAAAAATGGCCAAGTGTAGAAAATTTCTTACTTCAGGTGTCAGTTTTACTTCCCAGCTAGCTTACGGAAGGAAGATGGTTGCGGTTGCACTTAGCAACCCATAGAGGACTTATTTTAAGCTTGGCTATTTGAAGAATAGAGAGAGCTATTGTGCTAACCCAGGCATCTGCATCACATACATTCTAGTAAATTTTTGTGTAAAAGTTGGTAATGCCAAAACAATTGAAGGGAATAGGTTGAAACTTTACAGATTTATTTGGGAGTATGACTGGAGGTCTTTAGTCAAGACACATAACTCTAACATGGAATTGACATAATCATTGCCCATTTTTAACATTGAAAATTTTAAGGAAGAGTATAGTTTCGCGTTAAGGTACATCAAATTTTGTTGCTAAGTTACATTGTGGCCTTTTTTTTTTAGTATGATTTTTTTTAACCTTCAAAATTTTTAGATTGTTAATGTAATTGTATAATACTACAAATTAATTAGATTTTTAGTTTGTTTTGTGTGTATGATAATTTGCTTTATTTTGAGTTCAATGCTTTTTTAACTGTACATGTATTTTAATCTGCACTGAGCCTCAAATACAAATTAAAAGCATAATTGTTCAAAACCACCATATTACATAAAATGTATTTGTTTGAAGTGAAATAGATTTTTATGAACTGTTCTTTCTCCTTATAAACCATTTGATTCAGAAAAAAGTGGACTAATGGCATAGGGAACATAATGCTGGTAAACAGCAAATATTGTTTACATGTAAAACAACTCATAATGGGCAAAGTGTTTAGAAAATTGTAAGAATGTTGTTGTTCAATTTGTTAATGTTGTTGAGCCAGTTCACTTAGCAGAAAGTAGGAATTTCTTTTCCCCCCACATGCCATTTAGCTTATAGCTTGTGGTCTGCTCAGTGTTTTTAGCTCACCTGTCACAAAGTGACAGGGTGAGCTTTTGTGATCGCTTTTCGTCCGGCGTCCGTCCGTCGTCCGTCCGTAAACTTTTACTTTAAATGACATCTCCTCATAAACCACTAAGCAAATTTCATCCAAACTTCACAGGAATGTTCCTTTGGTGGTCACCTTTAAAAATTGTTCAAAGAATTTAATTCCATGCAGAACTCTGGTTGCCATGGCAACCGAAAGAAAAAACTTTAAATATCTTCTTTTAAAAAACCATAAGAGCTAGAGCTTAGATTTGGCATGAAACATCTTCTAGTGAGTGTCTACCAAGTTTGTTCAAATAAAAGCCCTGGGGTCAAAATTTGCCCCACCCCAGGGGGTCATTTGATTTTTCCCTATATGAGTATAGTAAAAACTTTAAAAAAA